TCAAAAATCATATAAGTGAAATACAGATTTAAAAAATAGAACTGTTACAATTTGCTAAACCAGGCACAGATATCAAAAATCAAAAATATTACTCTGTATTTACTTGAATATCTACTTTGTTTTTATTTATTTTACCACACTTCGTACAGCTTCCATAGCATTCGAATGCAACATATGTTCTGCTAACAAAAAACCGGAAGACCTCGTGAAACAATAACCAGTGTATTTTTCCGGATAAACAAAAATTGGAAATAATGTTAAAAAAAATATGTTAGCAACACCAAAAAGTTGCAATACCACCATACATTGATTTTTTATATTTTTTTTATAAAAGGATATAAAAAATAATGGAGTAAAATTTTCGACAAACCACAAAAAGAAAATGTGCATATTTTGAGTTGATTGTAGTCACGAAACGAACTATAAATATACCTGTGCACGTCAAATGATTTTTCGCATGAGTTATATTGAGAAGACATTTTTGCAATATGTCTCTGCCAAAGTTATAGTGCCAACTTTATATATTTAAAGTCTATTGTTTTTAAAACACCTTTTTAAAAAACACTCACCTTTATTGTTATTTATACAATTATTGTGTTGTTGTTTGTATTTAAAAAATAGTTCCAAAGGTAAGATAGAATTATTTTTAACATAATGAAATTGTCCTGAAAAACTTGTGTTCTTATAGAGTTATTTTGAAACAGAACTGTAATTATATTCTATTCAGTAGTTGATTGTATTTGTCAAAGTGCTATTTAAAACCTTTAATATGAAAGAAATAGTGTATACAAAGCCAAAGCTGAGACTTTTGTAATTCCATACCACCGTGTTCCATACTAATACTGAAAATTCTCTTCTAGGTGTGCCCATAAGAACGAAAAACTGGAAACTAGTTATACGAGACGAAAACAAGACGATTAAAGAAACACTGATAAATAAGAAAAAAAAAAGAAAACTATTCGCATAGGTTGTGTGACTGTTCACCTTTCAAATTTCGCGCGCTTCTGCGACCTCTGGTGATCAAAACTGTCAAATGTGTAAGGAAAATATTTATACACCCTAACATAACCTCAAATCAATGAAAAACAAATAAATACATAAAAGGTTTGAACTTGATACAATCCCTAAATCCTTATTTCATGTTTTCCTGAAGAATGAATACCTTCGATTGGTTGACAATTACATTTGCCGGTTTAATCAAAGAAAAGAAAAGTATTTCTATAGCCTATTCTAATCTGAAAATTTTTTAATCACCCGTTATACGACATATGAATAATCATGTCAGGGAGCAAATTGTGTGTCACTTTTTGCAAAATATTACAGACTTTTATTCCTTGAACTGATCCGCTTTACAGGGTGTTCAATTTCACGCTCAATTATAAAAACATTAGGATCTGAAAACTTAAGATGGTTGAGCCAGTGGGTCAATTTCAAAATCCATTTCCATTGTATTTAGCACATTTTGAGTTTCTTTTGGAGATTTTTCTTTCGTAACAGATCCTTTTGAAAAACGACGGGTTAGGAAAATATTTTCCTGACAAAGCTTATACAATTGTTATATGATGGCGCCACTGGTGCAAAGTCTCTATAGTTAAAACAAAAAACAATGTTTCAACAAACATTCCCAATTCAATAAAATCGGTGTCTTCAGCGACAGGAAAACACGAAAACAAAGAACTGTCTTAATGGCTGTCAGGTAAGTCAGACAACTATGGAAACTAATAATAGAAGCCGAAAATGACCTCTGGATATCGAAATATACAAGAAAATGTCTTCAATAATTTTCGAAAATGGTTGAAAAATGGTCTAAAATGTCAAAAGTGCCAAAAACAGTCTCATCTCATCAAATATTAAGCCCGCCCACCCACCTCTATTTTATTAGAGTGTATGTTATTTGCCAAAGTCAATCTTATCTTAGTAAGTACTAGCCCCGCCCACCCACCCTCTTCTCATTCTAATGACAAATTTTATTTGTGTTCAGTTTAACCTCATTCATTTCATTCAGGTCGCAGAAAATCAATCACTGAAAAGGAGACAAGGTGGGTGGGGGGGGGATTAATTATGTTCTTCTATCGAGTGAGAGGGGAAACTAATAATAAAAGCCGAAAATGACTTCTGGATATCGAAATCGATAAGAAAATGTCTTCAAGTAATTTTCGGAAATAATTGAAAAATGATCAAAAAGGTCAAAAGTACCAAAAACAGTCTTATCGTATCAAATATTAGCCCCGCCCACCCGCTCTCTATTTTCTTAGAGGGTATATTATTTGCCAAAATCACTCTCATCTTAGCGAAAATGTCAAAAGTTCCAAAATCAAGCCCCGCCCACCTGCTTTCTATTTTCTTGGACGGTATGTTCAAATTAGTCTTATTTTAGCAAGTCTCACAGCTTTTCGGGACCAAGTTCGAGGAATTCCTATGAAATTTAAAACTCAATCAAAATGTAATAGTGACATTTTCTGACCATATGTTTTTTGAAAATTTATAATTCAAAGATCTCTCTACACATTTCGATGGTGTTATTAGAACCCTAAAAAATACAGTCGCGATCAAAGAATCTTGAAAAATTTTATTTAAAAATTTTTGACATCTCAGTTGGCCATGCTTATGTAAACAACCCCTAACAGTAAGTAGGAAATGACTTTTAGCAATTTTAGTTATAAAACTGTGAATGGTTACAAAACTGTGAATGCCCATTCTGAGTTTATGAATGAATTGAAATCTGTACTGGGAAAGTCTATATACATATTTGACAAATTGACAGTTATGGTTCATTTTATGGATCAAGCTAAGTTTGAAAACAGTAGACGATTTTGCCAAGATAAATTTGAATTTCCAGCGCACAGAAATGTACCGAGTGAATATTAAGGTTTCTGTTTTTTTTTTAACTTGGCAACCTTTTTAAAAATTTATAATGGCGTACTTAATGGTCATGGTAAATTTGAACTAACTTTACTTCTTGCTGCTGGCTATTTCTACCTACTTCCCAGTGTAAATTTTGGAAAGTTGCTGGGTGTAAGGCGTTTTTCGAACTTTAGGGGAAAAGTAGGGAAAACGAAAAACTTAAGTGAGATTAAAACGTCACATTCTTTTAAATGGCAACGAACTTGAACGTTTCAGTAAAACGCACAACTCAAAATTACCCGCTTAATTAATTAATGCGTACGTCAATAAAACTAAATCTGGTCGCTATCAACTTCATTGAATAAAAATCCCAAGCAGGACAGTGTAACCAACGTTATTTTTTATTAAGTGGACAGGTAAAAATGATCTCCACTCTATATAAATTTTGATAAATTCTTTGACAGGACTTCTGAGTTATCCCATTGGTCCAACTGTCATAAACCTGCTATATGCGTCATTACCATGGAATATAGCCCATAGTATGCATAGTATCGTCATCTATTGTTGTAAGAGTGGATCAAATGCAGTTGGTAACCCAAAAAAATTCCCCTGGTTTGGGACCAAATTTTGTCAGCAAAGAGTTGACAGCACGTAAATGGTTGTTGTCACGTGGTCGTGGCGTGCACGTTATTCTTGTTTAAAGTCATTGTATTAATGATTCAACAGTGTTTTAATTTAATATTAGGATTCGGTTTTGGGACAACTGTATGTCAGTGTAATAGTGGAATTTAAACAAAAATGTGAACCAGTATTTACGTACTTTTAACAAATTTTGTGTTTGATTTAAAATTATCAATTAATATAATTATTAATTATTAAATAAGGTTTTGTTGATTAAATTTTATGTTTTATTAATATTTATATAATAAACACATTTTTTGAATTTTATTCAAGTTAAAAATCAAAATTTTATGTATGAACTACTAACTTTAAATCCAACATAAAACCATTTTAATGCGGTATGTTAAAAATTGTCAGTAATTTTTGTTTTCGTCAAGTTTACGCCAGGTTTGCTCCACGATGACAACTTAGATCATATAATAAAACATGATTTTTAAAGCTTCCGAAGTTCTTTCAAATTCTCCCAAAAACATGATTTCTGGAGTCTCCGAGATTCTTTCAAGTTTTCTCAAAAACGTGATTTCTGGAGTCTCCAAGATCCTTTCAAATTCTCTCAAAAATAAGATACAAAGAACCGCGGAGATTCTTTCGAATTCTGTCAAAAACTTGATTCATGGAGTGTCAAAGATTCTTTTATATTCTTTCAAAAAAAAAAGACACTGAGGATCCTCAAAATTCTCTTAAATTCTTTTAAAAATAAGACAAAAGGAACTTTCGAGATTTTTTCGAATTCTGTTAAAAATATGATTCTTGAAGATTCATTTATTGCATGATTAAGGGTGACGATACTATGGGTTTTCTAGGGGCTATCCATGGAGGAAATAATATAATATATTCATTATATTCATTCGTCCATGGTCATTAGTGTCACACAAATAATGCAAAAATTACTGCGATCACTTTTCGATGTCAGATAGATTAATTAGGTTCTTTTCCATCATTCCAAGATATAAATTTAGTGACCTTAACGTGAACTCGAAAAGGTAGACATATTTCAACAGTGTAACCAACATAAAAACTGATTTTAAACTGAATTTAAATGATTGTGAAATGACAAAATATAAGTGGAGTTTACTACAAGTTAAATAGGAAGTGAAATATTAAAATTAAACTAGTAAATCATCACTAAATAAATCGAGTGTTTTTGGTTAAAAAGTCTATCAAACACTACATTTCCTCATTGTTTAATTTTGTTCTTATTGTTATCAAAAATGACAGTGAAACGTCTTTAAAATTTCGGCTGACATATTCTTTAAAATCACGCAGTGAATACATCTCAGGAATATAACCCAAAAGTTTCTAAAAACTTAGAAACTAGAGTTTTTGGTACACAGATTTGCTGTAATGGACGCTGGTGTTATGAAACTTGTATATTACAGTGAAACTAAAATTAAAGTTGTCTTAAAGGCAGGTTTTTGACAGACTGAAAAAATACTAGTGTCATAAAAAATTTCGACTCGAACAAAAACCGCCACTTATATAAAAATATTTATTCATAATATCCAATATGAAAATAGTTAACACTCGCAACTCTCACATAGTAGTCCACAACAAAACAACACAAGATAAATTAAGTATAAAAACAGGATGGAATATTCACAGAATAAAGAATAACTCAACTAAAAGAAAAGACTAGCACCAATCCCCTACTTTGGCAATTCATTTTCTTCATTATTACAAGTATTCAACGAAGGCTCCGACTCTGCACGCTTCAAACCATCCCCCGTAATATTATCTTCTTCACTAAACTGCTTACTATTGATATCCGGAAAGCTCCTCGTCACAATCTCGTCTTGTTGCAACGCCGGCTCAATCCTGATATCCTCCCCATCAACCTTCAGCAACTCCTCATTAAGACTAACGTTCTTAAGATCCACCGTGCTGTTGGCGAAAATCGCCGCCGACCCCAAATCCGTCGGAAGCGTCTCACTTTTAACCTCCGTCGGCGGAAAACCGTTGGTGTAAATAGACGACCTCAGAGGCTGGTCCACGATCGGCGGCCTCAGCGGACTCGTCGCCGTCGTCGTCGTGGTGCTCTTCACGGAATTATTCGACGGCGACTGCACCGTGGCCTTCTCTTGCTTGTGCTGCGTTATCAACTCGCACGCTTTCCCCAGGATCAAAAGACTGTTCAATACCTTGAAAGAAGCCAGACAGAAGTACGCCAAAACGAAGAGGATGACCGAAGCGAAGTCGTTGATATGTACGGCGCTAGCCAGGACTCGGATCATGACTACGCCTAGTGGTAGCGGAATAAAGCCCATTCTGCGAGCTACGAGATCAGAGTGATCGGAAAAGGCGTGTTTTTGTCGAGTTTGAGCCATGTCGTATGCCAGACTGGTGGTGTAATCGCGATAGACGTCTAATTGGAGTTCATTGAAACGGGTTATGAATGCGTGTTTGATCCAATCGACGAACATTTCAGCGATTAGTACTATTAAACAGTCTGGAAGTAAGACCCAGAGTCGATCTGACTTCCAGGAATATTCCCGCATTGTTTGGAGAACTACTATGGAGAGGAGAACAATCAAGTGGAAACGCTCGCGAACGTCACTGCAGGATACTTGGAATAGATTGTTCTTGTCGAATTTCTTGAAGACGCTCCCCTTCAGCTCCACGAACTGGATAAAAGAAACAAACGATTGGATTAGTATTGTTAAAATGAGATATCGCTTCAAAATATATGGATAAAATGAGTCTTAAATTACTTGTTATAGAGCTCGTGATGCGAAGAGATATACTGATTTGATAGGTGATTTATTAAAAGCTAACTGTTTGCTTTGTTGCGCTAGGCGAACTAAATTACATATATAAAAACGAAAAAAAAATCTCAAAATATGCTTCAAATTTCAAAGAAATTTCTTGTAGCAAATAAACGACAAGTTCAAAAGTTGAGGGTAAAATTTTCGGTGATTGACGGCTTATCCTATCGTTTTTTTGGGTGAAGCAACTAATGCTTTGTGTTGGTAACATAAAATTTCTTCTATACATCTTAGAACTACAAACTGTTAATGACATGAAATACTCATATTGCTATATTGATAAGGTCTGGCCCTACTGTGACGTCATCAAATTGGCGGGTAAAACGAAATACTAATTTTCAGGCATCCCCATGTCGAGTGAATACTTAATGGATGCACAACAGACAAGACATTTTTGCACTCAGATTGAAATTTTTATGTAACTTACAAAGTTTACAGCCACGAAAACAATGGAATTTTGTTGTAAACGTTTTTGTTTTACTTGTGGTATTACAAGATTTTAATTAATGTTTGACTGAATTTGAATTTTGTTTGTAAATTGGTACTACTGACAGACTGTCAAGTTCAATTTGAAATTTGACGTTTGATGTCAAAGTCGCGTGTTGCTGTTATTTGACCTATTCGAATGTATAACTGATTTTAAAAATCCATAGCTTACTATGTTACTACTCAAACATTAATGAAAACCTGTACAGTCATGTGTACAGAACTCCTGTAGGACCCCACTTTTACTTGTGTCAAAAACAATACAAAATCAATAGCGTGGATACAAATTCAGCTGTCATATGTACGGGATTTATGTAAACAAGACTGTACATATAACGAGTAATCAAAAAGTTGGCCATGGAAATATTTGTCATGTCTTTGATTACAATGCAAATGTCAAAAATCCAAATTATTAAAATGTAAATGAGGTTATGCCTGACATTTACAGTTTAATCAAAGACATGACGAATATTTCCATGACCGACTCTACTCTGCAAATTTTTTGATCACCCGTTATACCTATTTAAAAACCTTAGCAAGTTAAAATGGATTCATTAGACTGAAAATTGGTGTCAAAATTGTAGATAATCTAGCGCTAATTTTGAATCCGAAATCACCGTCACGAGATCCAATCAAATAAACGTGAAAAGCGAGTTGAAAAATTTCTAAATTTTTCGCAAAAATAGTTAAATGGGTTCAAACGACTGAGAATTAGTATCAAATTGTAGATAAACTTCCGTTAATTACGAATCTGAAATCACCCTCACGAGATCTATTCAAATAAACATGAAAAATAAGTTTACAATTTTCAAAATTTTTTCAAAAAAAAAAAAGTTAAAATAGTTCACTTGGATTAGTGGCAAATTCTAGATAACCTTACAATTACAAATCTGAAATCGCCATCATATCTTGTCAAATAAACGTGAAAAGTTAGTTGAAAATTTTCAAAATTTTTACCAAAAAATAGTTTAAAAGGGTTCAAACGATTGAGAATTGGTGTCAAATTGTAGATTAACTTCCCTTAAATACGAATTTGGAATCACCGCCAAAACATCTATTCAAATAAACGTGACGAATAAGTTTAAACTTTTCAAAATTAAAAAAAAAAAAACAATTAAAATGAGTTCAATCGACTGAGAATTGATGTCAACTCCTAGATAATCTTCCGCCAATTACAAATGCCAAAGTGCCATAACATCTTGTTAAATAAACGTGAAAAGTGAGTTGAAAATTTTTAAAAATTTTCCCAAAAAAAAGTTAAATGGCTTCAAACGACTGAGAATTGGTGTCAAATTGTAGATAAACTTCCGTTAAATACGAATCTGGAATCACTGTCAAAAACATCTATTCAAATAAACGTGAAAAATAAGTTTTTAGAATTTTGAAAATTAAAAAAAAAACGATTAAAATGAGTTCAATAGACTGAATATTGGTGTCAAATTCTAGATAATCTTCCGCCAATTACAAATCCGAAATCGCCATCACATCTTTTCAAATAGACGTGAAAAGTGAGTTGAAAATTTTCTAAATTTTTCCCAAAAAATAGTTTAAATGGGTTCAAATGACTGAGAATTGGTGTCAAATTGTAGATAACCGTCCGTTAATTACGAATCTGGACTCACCGTCAAGAGATCTATTCAAATAATCGTGAAATATAAGTTTCCAATTTTCAAGATTTTTTCAAAAACAAAAAAAACCATCAAAATGAGTTCAATTGATTGAGAATTGGTGTCAAATTCTAGACAATCTTCAGTCAATTACAAATCCTAAATCGCCATCACATCTTATCAAATAACCGTGAAAAGCGAGTTGAAAATTTTCAAAATTTTTACCAAAAAATAGTTTAAATGGGTTCAAACGACTGAGAATTTGTATCAAGTTGTAGATAAACTTCTGTTAATTAAGAATCTGAAATCGCCGTCACAACATCTATTCAAATAAACGTGAAAAATAAGCTTACAATTTTAAAAATTTTTCAAAAAAAAAAGGTTAAAATAGTTCAGTCGACTGAGAATTGGTGTCAAATTCTAAATAATCTTCCGCCAATTACAGATCTCAAATCGCCATCACATCTTGTCAAATAAACGTGAAAACTAAGTGAAAACTTTCAAAATTTTCCCAAAAAATAAGTTTAAATGGGTTCAAACGACTGAGAATTGGTATCAAATTGTAGATAAACTTCCGTTAAATACGAATCTGGAATGACCGTCAAAACATCTATTCAAATAAACGTGAAGAATAAGGTTACAATTTCGACTGATAATTTATGTCAAATTCTAAATAATCTTCCATCAATTACAAATCTGAAATCACCATCACCTCTTGTCAAATAAACGTAAAGAGAGAGTTGAAAATTTCAAAAATTTTTTCCAAAAAATAGTTTAAATGGGTTCAAACGATTAAGAATTTGGATCAAATTTTAAATAAACTTCAATTAATTAAGAATCTGAAATCGCCGTCACAACATCTATTCAAATAAACGTAAAAAAATAAGTTTACAATTTTCCAAATTTTTTCAAAATAAAAAAAAGCAATTAAATCGACTAAAAATTATGTCAAATTCTAAATAATCTTCCGCCAATTACAAATCCGAAATTTCCATCACATCTTGTCAAATAAATGTGAAAAGCGAGTTAAAAATTTTCAAAATTTTTACGAAAAAAATAGTTTATATGGGTTAAAACGACTGAAAATTGGTGTCAAATTGTAGATAAACTTCCGCTAATTACGAATCCTAAATCGCCGCCAATAAACGTGAAAAGTGAGGTTACAATTTTCAAAATTTTCCCAAAAACATGGTTAAAATGGGTTCAATCTACTGTGAATTGGTGTCAAATATCAGAAAATTTCCGGTTAAAAAATAAAAAACAAACACACGTCACGTCCAGGCCCACTCTGACGTCACAGTCTCCCTATCCCCTGGTATCTTCCGTCTACTTTCTACTACTATGCGGCATGCGATATGCGCACACCGTACTAATATAGGGACTTTGTTGATGGCATACCTGTCAACTCAAAATAGAAACGCAAGTGCCAAGAAAATCAAAACTTAAACATGTCTCGCAAAGAAAATGGTTCCTATATCGAACTTGATTAATAAAAGTCTTTGTTCAACTACAGATTTAATGTAAGAAAGCTAGAAGTTATCAACTTTTCTCGTTTTCCACAAAAAATTCGCAGCCATGTTGCCGCTTACGTTACTGGAAAAATTTGCTAGGTTGGTGAACTTAAAAAAAAAACGTACTTTACATGATTTGCAACATCTGTAGCGTGTTCAACGTTGCCGGTTGTATTTTCGCATGAGAAAGCAAAGTTAGTGGTACTTTAACTACTTAATAAACAGTAGTAAAGTCGCCAACAAAACTTAACGAGAAATCAACTTCAACTGCGTCAACATTTGCACGAGACTTGTATGTTTAAGCTATACTTAGAGACGTGGGTTTAGTCACAATCCACGATTTAAGTTAAGACCAGTGTCACTTATATGTCAAGTGATTAATATTCAAATCTGACAAGTCCCTAAATTAGTTACTGACTCATGGACTTAAGTCAGTTCTTTGAAAAAATACTGAAAGATATACACATTTCCTTATAATTCAGGTTTAATATTTTGAATTCAGTTTTTATTTTTTTCGTTTAGACTTACGATATTAAAACAGCAGTTTATTTTAAAATTGTATTTCATTTTAATTTGTTTTCTTCTGATTTTTGGGGGAAAACTTGGGGGAAATTAAAACGTTACCAAATTCTTTTAACAAAGAACTTGAACGTAATGATACACACAACCAAAATTTTGTATTTTTTTTTCAATAAAACGCAGGTATTAAACAAAAAACAAGTAGGGCAGTGTAACCAACCTTACTATTCATCAGGAGCATAGATAGAAATGGTTTGCACCCTTTCCAGAACGCCACTGGTCACAGCCAAAGTGACAGCTTAAATCGGTATCACTGAACATCAGCCAAAAAATGTTTTGTTAGTAAACAGACTATTTAGGACCCGTTTATGGTGAATGACTGGATGAACATTTATTTAATTAAAATCTAAAGTGCGATTAACCGATGAACCCGAGAATTTGATTGGTTGAATTTGAGCACGTGATTAACTTACTGGGTGATCAAGTGTCCACGACACGTCTAAAACTTGATTCCTTGACGAATTAAATATATAATTTGAATTAAAAATGAACGTGGGATTAACCCGTGAATCTCAACACTGGATTGGTTGGAGTTAATTGCGTTATTAAATTGATGTGTGATTAAGCAAACTGGATCTTATTCTCATAATGTATCAAAACTATTTTTTTAAGTTTGATGACATTACAGCACAGAAAATACCTGAACTTACGTTATTAGACATCATAATGGTCAAGAGAGCCTTATTGTTGGAATTGATAGCCACATTCAACGTAGTTGCTTGAAACAAGACAAGAATGCTATGAAGTACTGTAAAATAATAAGGAAAACAACACTCAACAAACCTGAATATCCCTAAAAAAATAAAATAAAAGGATACCCACATATACAATAGCGAATATGAGATGTGGAATCACTCCCAAATGCTCCCTTTTCCTCCCTCTTGGTTCTGTAGCCGTCCAGAACAAAGCGTCAATGGTATCTTGTCCAAAAGCAGAAAACAACCTATCACCAACTTCCAACATATTATAAAAAATATACAACTTGATCACCGATTGACTTTTGATCAAATGATACAACATATTTGTATCAACAGAAAACATAAACGTACTACATACAATTAAAAGAACAGCCTTCAATAGATCACAAATTTCCGCTGGGGTTAAAATACGTCTGTTTCTTCTGTCATGTAATCCAAAGCACTTCGAAAACGGTCTAGTAACTAAAGCCCAAAGCGCCAACAAAACCCGCATAGGCAAAAACGTGTACACAAACAGAAACGAATCTGTACATTGCATAAAACCATAACGCATGAATCTCTCGACTTCTCTCGGAATTCTCATAAACGAGTAAACTTTCTCCCTTCGTGCTGAAAATCTTTCCTCGTCGTGCTCGAGGAGGTAGTCCCGGGTCAGCTCCACCTGGAGGAACGAAGCCAACGACGGGCTTCTCTCTGAAACACTGGATTATGACCGGCACGTCATTGACAGGTTCCGATGTTTACCTTTTTTAGGATAGTCCACATCATTCTGATCTTTGTCATTTCGCAACAAATCCTCGATTTTGTTTTCGGATGCAAAGAGCACTCGGGCAGGAGTCTTGAATCGGATTTTTCGGACACCTTCTTCGTCTTTTTCGTCATCGAGAGACATAGTTGTTGAAAATTAACCCACAATAATTAACATGATTTATGACACGGAGTGACAGTGACAGTGACGACACATAAACATAATGACATTAGTGACATTACTAGGGAATTTTGTCCCACAGTTCTGGTTATAACCTAGTCACAGCATATCATTCAGTAAAGACAGCTCGTCAAATATTGGAACAACGTGTCCTTATCCAACCGTTTTGATTAGGCGGGATTTTTGAAACGAAGTGGAATATTGGTTGCCTAAATTACAAATACAGCTCGTCCGTAAAACAATGTAAAAGGAACTGATATAAACATCGAATGAACTGAAACCAATTTTTGGAGTGTGGCATGAAGACTACGAAAAAAATACCACTTTGAACAATAAAAAAGAATTGTGCTTATATTTATTTTATTCATTAATAAAAGTCTATCACTTTACCAAGTTAATTTCAACATAAACATATCAACTACCTATTTTGCCAATGCCTTCAATTTTCGCCAAGTGTGAACCGTTTGAAGAGTCAGAAAGTGAACGCTGTTGTTTTCATCTTCCCTGGGAAAAGTACTTTGATGTTTTTGGTTGAATTTTTGTTGTTAGTTAAATTAGTGAAGTAATTCTGAGAACTTTTTCATAGTAACATGGACTATAGTGGTAGACCACCTCGTGATTCCAGGCACAATAAAAAAACCTGCTTCAGAGGCTTCTTTAAATTTCCCTCGGAATCTGTAAGATAAGAAATATAAAGAAGTATATTATTCTATAATCAATACAAAAATTATTTGGTATGCAATTTTTACAGCACAGTGAAAATTCCAATAGTTGTAATGATTTAGGATCTATTTTACTAGCAACTGAATCTAAAGAAAGTAACCAGTGTCAAATTATTAATAGAGTTTTAAGTTGAACAACTTTTGCACATAAATCTGTGGAAGTAAATATGACAGACTACAGACATCTGGACATGGAGGAACAAAATTCTTTAAGTTATGTCTGTGGATACTTACTGAAGAAATGCTTGATGAAATATACCTGTGAAACATGTAGTTATTTTGCCGTTGCACGTAATGTCATCATATATGATAAACTTCTCTGTCACTTCAACGTCTTTGATGATGATCCACCATTTTGGCAATCCTAAAGCTGGCCATTCACACTCCAACGTCCCATTGGATGCAACTGTTGTACAATTCTGTTAAAAAGCAGCAGTACACACACACGTTACGACCTTGCAGTTAAAAATTTGCGATCGTGATGACAACATGTCCGACAAAATGACGAAAATGTACTTTTATAGCTGCTCTCACGATTTGAATAACATACACTGTCGAGTCATGTCCACACATCATCAAATTTCCATCCAATACAACACGATTGTACTGCTGCAGACAGACTTGTTCACCGACCGTCCACATCCAACCGATTTGCATACACAGACGTTCAAAAACACTTCAATTTGGTCATATCAAACACAATTGTTCTGCGGCGTTGAAACGTGAGTGGCGCGCTTAAGATGCTACATGAAACATTCACCTTTTATGTTGCAGCCCTAGAAAAACGATTTGTTTCACTATTTTCTACCAACTCAATTTTACCTTCATGTGGCCGATATATAAAAGCTGCCCTCGTAACTGTGTCCATACCAGCATACCGCACCCCTGTGCCCTGTGTACAGTTTCCACAATATTATTTATTTTATTTATGTGTTCGAACGCGCATTTTCTATTCAGTAAAAATAATAAATCACCGTTACAATATTAAATACCAAACATCTAAAATGTCAAATTTGACGCACAATGTTGACATGGTGGTAAATTTTATTTAGTAACAAGGTTTGCCACTACAGTTTCTAGCCAAAATTCAAGGTCATGTCCTTATTCAACGGTCGATTATTGTTGTTCTAGTCCGTTACGTGTATTTCTTATGGACCTTTCAAAAGCTGTCCTTACTGAATGATATGCTGTGACCTAGTTTTAACAAAAATTATTGTAATGTTTGCTCGCAAAAACATTCTAAATAGCCCGCAAATACACTTTTACTTTCAAAGGATTGTTGCTGGTATTAAACATTTGTTTTAATGTTTTTTTAAGTGTTTACAAGAAGTTTCTTATAAAACGTTCATCAGATAATCTCACTTACAGATTAGTTATATTCATATTATTATAGTTGTTTAGAATCAGTGCAGAATTGGTTTCTATTCAACTTTAATACTACAAATGCTACATAATAAACCCTTAAATGTGTCACTCGTATCATTCTATTTTTATTATCGATTAATTTAACTCACGGTACCAGTGCATCTGGTGAACTAATTTCTCGATTGACAGAACTAACCCGGTTGACTTTTCCACCTTTAAATAAATTTCTAGATTCACATTTTTAATATTTCGACACTTTCTTTGCAAAAAAAGTGTGATAGTATACTAAAATTGCAAATATTTTCAAATTAACTTGAGCAAATTTCCAAAAAGTCCCTAGATGGGCACTTGACACCTTGCCGTTGACAACTTTGACAGTTGTCAGCTGATGGGGCCGCAAAGATTATTTAACTATGGAAAGTAATGAAAATAACCCTCCCGAGAAAGACGAGACGAAATGTAAAGTGCTGATAATAGGGGCCGGGATGGCCGGCCTCTCGGCCGCGTATCACTTGTCCAAGAACGGCTTCAACGACTACAAACTTCTCGAAGCACGTAAACGTGTGGGCGGAAGGATAGTTCAAATAAAAATGGGCAACGAACCGGTGGAATTGGGCGCTAACTGGATCCACGGGGTCCTCGGCAATCCCGTTTACGAGCTGGCCATGCAGCACGGCCTCGTGGACATCATGCAGACGCCGAAGCCCCACAAAGTGATCGCCGCCACCGAAAAAGGCAAGCAAGTGCCGTTCGCGATTCTACACGAAATCTACGAAGCATATCTCTGTTTTTTGAAACGTTGCGAAGAGTATTTTTTATCACAGTATTTACCACCAGAAGGCATTGATAGTGTAGGTGACCATATTAAGTTAGAAATTAGTTTGTACTTAGATAAAATACAAGATTCCCGAGAGAGACATTTACGTGAACTTTTATTTGAGTGCTTGCTGAAACGAGAAACGTGTATATGTGGGTGCGACGATATGAGAGAAATCGATTTATTAGAATTAGGAACATACACCGAATTACAAGGTGGCAACATTACGCTTCCAGAAGGGTACAGTTCTATTTTGGAGCCTGTGACTAAAGCTATACCATCAGAGAATTTACTTCTTCAACATCCAGTTAATTTAATTTGTTGGAATCTCAACAAGCGGAACAGTATTGATAATGGAAATGATTCCGATGACTCAGACCGGACTGTGGTTGAAGAAACCACCAATAGTCGAGAATCGAGCTGTGAAAAGACTAATCACCAATATAACATAGAGGTCAATTGTGATAATGGCAAAAAATTCCAAGCGGAGCATTTAATCTGCACGATGCCATTAGGGGTACTAAAAGAACACATAGACACATTATTTCAGCCACCCCTGCCTGACTATAAAAGAGAAGCCGTGGAAAGGCTACTCTTTGGCACAGTGGATAAAATTTTACTAGAATACGAACGACCTTTTCTTAATCCAGGGATCACGGAAATTTTACTTCTATGGGAATCTGACTCTGACGACCCTGAAGGACAAGATGACTTGAGCAAAACCTGGTATAAAAAAATTTATTCGTTTTCGAAAATCACGGAAACGATTATTTTGGGATGGATCTCAGGCAAGGAGGCTGAATATATGGAAACACTACCAAAAGAGACCATTACTGATACATGCACCACAGTGTTACGAAAGTTCCTTAATGACCCTTTCATACCAAAACCAAAGAACGTAGTATGGTGAGCCCCAACTCCCTCTTTCAGTCCAAATTTTAATACACTTGTTCTAGTACTAGTTGGCATAGTCAGCCTTACACAAAGGGATCATACACAGCAATAGCTGTAGGGGCTTCACAAATCGATATTGAATGTCTAGCACAGCCCCTCTACCTCGACGAAGAAGAAACTAGAGTAATTATTTTTGTGTGTTGTAAATTATAATAATTAATGTTTCATTTTTAGCCCGCGGTGTTGTTTGCTGGCGAACACACTCACAGTAATTTTTATTCAACTGTACATGGAGCATACTTAACAGGAAGAACCGCTGCACAAACAATTTTAAACGAGGGTACCCCTCAAGAAATGGTGCTAGACTGTGAAGACGATGCTGACTTAAGTTCATGGGTACAAGGGATCAGTCTCGAGTAACGCCCATTGCCTTAATTTAAATCAGTTGTGGAAAAATACATACCTGTCTTCAGAAAACTTAATTATAAGTACAAAAATTCCAATTTTTGACGTTGGGTTATTGGCTCTCTGTGAAGGTTTTTCCACATCTGGTACACATTTTGTGTAATTTTTTTAACAATTTTACAATGAAACCAGACACATCATTTTAATTGAAACACTGAAGATATCTGTAAAGTGCTGCTAAATATGTTGTATTTATTTATTTTACAAGGGGTATACTTAGTTTTTGCTTTTATGTACATAAGAAAATACGAGCAGTATTATCAGAAAAGTTATGCAAAATGTGAATTGTAGCAAAATTTTAGAACTGCTTAACAGTGTCTGTTCTTTTTATTTGTTACCTTTTTAATGATTGTTACTTTTATATGCTTATGCTACATGCTAGTCATTTTTTAAACATATTGTTTCATTAAAAAATAATAATCAAGGTTTTTTTTTACCCCATCCCAGGTACTCTGTATAAGAATTCTCCATCATCATCATAGTAACAATCATTCAACTTATAAATTGTGCCTTTTTTAAGAATGCTTTTGGGAATTGTTATTTTGTCAGGGTAATTTAAGTGTGAATAGTCTTTTTCCTTTTTGTCTAAGTGTTGTACACCTGTTGAAGCCTTGTACTTGTTTTTGGACAAATCCATTAAACGAGTTTCACTAATTTTATCCTCTTTTTCAGGTTTAACACTGTTGATGATGTGTCTTTCATCCTCATTCACGTTTTTTCCAGCTTCAACCCTCTTAGTCAGTCTATTTTGCAGTTCTGACAGTGTTACCGATCTAGTTCTGGTGGGTGATGGTACATAAGATGTGTCTCCTTTTGGTGATTCATTACCAACATTAGTATTCATTTGTGTGTTTTCACCTTCTAGTAAACAGTTTTTAATTTTTTTGTAACTTTTTATGATGTCTGCAAATTCACCAGTAGTAGCTTCACTTTGAACTTGAACATTTTTCTCAGAGGAGGGTAAAACAAACGGTTTGAAATTAAGTGCCCTATTGGTAAATTTGTTTAAATGTTCTGCTAAATCCTTTGGTAATGTTGACATCTGCCCTTGTTTAAATAATTTCCAGTTGCGTTGTACAGCTGCATCATGGTTAGTAATTTTATGTTGCTTGGTTTTAACCCAATTTGTCTTTACAACTCTCTGCAACAAGTATATTACGATTTTGACTACGTTTTTAAAAAATACCTACTTTTATTGTTTCAGGAAGAGCTGGAAATCCTTCAGATAAACGTTCTATAGTCCATTCTTCTGGCTCTGTGTTATGCAGATAACGTATTTGTTCTTTGTCGTGCCACGTTAGGAAATTTGGAGACTTTTCCTTAAAATACTTCTCGCGAACAATGAGGTACTTCTCTCTCTCTTTTATCTGCGCTAATTCCTTTTCGTGCTGTTCGTGTAATTTATGAACTTCCATAAAATCAGCTTCCAGCTCCTCAAAGTCTGTGATTTCTTCATTTTTGAGTCCTGGAAGCAGTTGTTTACGTCGACTGATGCCTGGATCTGTGTCTCTCTTGGGGAATTTTGCGAAATTTCGATAAACGCAGGGGGCCACCGATGGTGTGATGATTTTTCTTACAATGAACATGATTCTTGGAAACACATCAAATTCTGAGTTTTAAATTTTCTTTGCACTAGTAGCAGCCACACATTTTAAACAAGGTTTTGTGTAAATCGAGCTTTTAAAAGCACTAAAAATAGAGGTTAAAAATGCTTCTAAATGTGAGGTTATGTTGGACTTGTGTCAAAAATATTCAAGGTTGGAAGGATTTATCCAATGGTGTCTCTAATATATGGATCAAAGGCAAAATTATCCTATGTAAAGAATATTGTTTCTACAATTACTTGTTTTTGTTAACGGTATCACTATGGAAAATTAAATACATATGTTATTTCGGGTAATTTTTCTTCGTCTAGTATAATACAAATTACTCTCTTACTCATATAATATAAATCTAATCTCCAGCGATATGAAAAATAAGTTTTACATTACTCGAGAATTCTTTTCTGGTTTTTCGGCAGTGTTACATTATTTGTATCAGCGAAATCACAAAGCAGTTCTACCGTAGAAACTTCACTGGATTTTGTAGCCTTAGGTTGGTGCTAACGTGCATGTCAACTGTCAAGAAATACCAATCTTTCAACGGAACTTCTTTAGAGTGACAGTAATTTGCGTCATATAGTGGATTCACATTTTGGTAACCCAAACATCCCGCCTTAAATTGACATGTAAAAAAGATTTGAAAGCCCGCGAAAAATTCAAAAATTTGATTTTGGCTGTGATCGTCTAACAAAATGGAACTCTACATTGGAACCGCGTACTTCGCTTCCGCCACGTGTTATTGCGTTATTTATCTCAACTCCTTTTTACATGTTCACTTTCAATGACTCCAGTATTAAACTACAACTGAACAAGTGTAAAGTTTCAAAAAGAACAATAAACAACATTTAAATTCGCCATACACTCTCGTGAAATTTTAAACAAAAAAAATCTGGTGTGAAGTGCAGACTAAAATATTACGTTTAATTTAAATTATACAACAAAGAAAATTACTGAGACTAAAATTGCGAGATAGAGAAAAATTGCATGAGGTGAAAAATTGCAAAGCTAACAAAATTACATGAGTTTAATATTTACGACACTTGATCAAAGATTAAAACAAAAAATTTACAGGAAGCTAAATTATGCCACACTTTATCAACGATTCAAACAAAGATGTTATGTGATGTGAAATGATGCCTTGGTCCAAGTGACTGGTTACTTAAGAACATTTAGCTTTGAAAGTTTATATCGTGGACTGTCCCCAGCTTATCCCAAACAAAACACATGATAAATAAACACAAAATTCATCCAGCGTAGCGAGAAATGCTTCTCGGTGATGTGATGATAGTTGCTTAAGGAGAAAGATTTAATTTTCCTGATCCTCAGTGCACACTTTCCACAGTCCTTTTCCCAGAGTGGGACAACGTTAGGTTGATTTAACTGCCGTAAATGAATTATTAGCAATCTTGTGTAAGGAATTAAGAAGTGTTATAATGTAACATTTAAGTATAAGCTTCCAGAAACCTTATTCATAATTTGATAAACAAAGAATGGGTCCTGACTAAGTGAGTTTCATGAAGTCTCCTAGCAAGTGCTGTATCGAAATAATCTCAGGATCGTTAAGTTGTGTTAGTTAACGCTTAAAATCGTAACATGAACTGTGAATTTACAAACATTAAAACAAATTTACACCACGTGTTAGCGTCGATCGAAAATTCGCATATTTACACTTGGGAAAAGCCGCAAGAACTAGCTACGCGTGTTGGAAAAACCGTGGCTCTCCCTTTTTATTTAACCACCAAACCAACTAAACTTACCCTAGCTAACTCACCACGTCGCCGTCGTTTCACTCACACCAAACAAACCAAAAGTGACGCGTCACCTACCCCTTTAGCAGCCAAGTCAACTTCTATCAATCCTCTCAACAGAAATTTCCTAGGAGAGTTACCAACTACCAAAAAAGAACTAAACGTGCACATGCAGCCTATGTTTAACGATTTTCTTTTGTTTTTTTTCAGCGCGAAATTTTAATTCAAATCTGGTCACCACAACATGTAATTTAAATCTGCAATAAATAAACTAAAAATAGTGACTGCAAATTTAAATTTAAAATACATATGTATAAATTACCACAAAGCAGCTAATACCAAAATATGTTATCCCAAACATCCCGCCAAAATGCCCCATGCGCAAAAAATTTTATAACCAGCTAAAAATCCTAAACTTGGGCTTGAACCGTGATCCTTAACGGGGTGTGTGTGTGTGTGTGTGTGTGTGTGTGTGGCGAATGCGTTCAAATGCAAAGTTGTGAACCCCAGTTGGAAAAGTGACCGTAAATCACAAATGCAGTCAACAGTTACAAACCGATACAAATATTTGAATAACACAAATGTAAACACATAAAAAAGAGAAATCTTAACTAAAACTTAATTGGATGGTAATAATTAGAGATGGGCAAAATTAGTACAAGCGCTCGATTATTTATTTCTTCCACTCCTCATTATCATTGCAAGTTCAGTGTCATGCGGCAATTACAATGAGCGAAAATGCAGCGATGAATGAAGCTAAACAATATGTATTGCGCGCTACTGAAGTAAAGTAGTGGGACTCGCATCGCTTAATACACAAGTTATTGCGATGGTGTGGCGACAAATTTTAAAATGAACAAAGCCAAAGACTCTATCGGGAGTCCAAAACATAGATCACGGTTTCGGGATCGACGTCTCTGATTAAGGCGATCGAGCTCTCTTCAGTTCTCAACGTTGCGTTGGGTTGCAAAATTCACGAGCTACAACATATACTCATCCTAGCGGTGCAAGAGCTGTTACATAATTAACCGCATCATCCATTTCCTTGCGGACTACCAAATCAAAGGGCAAGCGCATCCCACGGAGAAGTAGGTACCCCAGGCCGGAACGAAATAAGACAAAATGGGTAGATAACTACCTTGGGCTGAATATCCGTTCTGCTAACATTACTGCAATTGAAGGATGAACTTCAACTCGTTCATTTTGTTGTTGTTAATTAAAAAAAAAAAAATGCCCAACATGAGTTAAGCTGAGGTCCGAAAACTGAAAACATTGGCGTCATTGCAGTTAAATTGTATTAGACCTATAAACAATTAAAAATCTCAACACGAATTGTGAATTTATAAATAATGAAACAAAATTAACACGTGTTAACGACTTCGCCAAAGTGTCACAACATCGGGTCTTACATTAATTACGTTCATTGTAGAGAGGGCATGACGTCGAATGCGATTTATTTTATTTAAACTGCTATTTTATGAAATTACAAACTAATTTTTACACACCAATTTTAATTAAAATAACCTTATTACAGGGCAAAGTCGGTCTGTTGTAAAGCAACCTACCTCTCTTATCGCAAGATGAGAGGTTGACTCGTCTAAGGTCCAGATTGGGCCCGACATCCAACTTCCGTCCCAAGCAAATAGAAATACCTTAGCTCCAAGTTCCCTTCAACACATGGTCGTCATGTTATCAAAAAACCGCCCTGTCTAGTTTTCCCGACCTTCAAATCACTGCTTGATCAGATGACTCTTATCGCGTAAATTATCACTGGCCTAGTTAATTGTGTTGATCCGCATTATTCTGCCCTCGTATTGTGTCGACCGATCATCGATCAAATATAAAGTAAAGATGGAAAACCTCCCGATCGGGTCTGGGACCTAAGGGGCATTTTTTGTGACGGCTAAGAAATCAAACCTAGGACATCCTAGAACAAGATAGAAAAAGAGACCACCTCAAAGCTAAAATGAAAATTTTAGTTGACTAGAGGAACTGAAGAGATTTTCTGAAAGAACTTGTATTGATAAAGATAGAAATATTGGAACACTGGTGTTAGAATCAAACCAGTTAGGAAAGGTGACGAAAGTTCTAGAACTTTTTATAGAAATTATGGAATATTCGAAGGCCAAAAGTGGAGTTCAAGTCAGATTTTAATCTTAAAGAGAAAACATTTTTTCAAGGATTACATTATCTTGGCCGTAGAAGAGTTGAAGACTGGTATCAACTTAGTAATTAAACCGACGGTTACAGAACACCACAAAATCAATGTTTGCAAAATTGGGGTAACCCAAAAAAAGCACAGAGAAAAACGAGTAAGAGAAAAACATGCGGCGGCACAATGTAATGTGGAAAGTGAGGAAAGTTAATCACGACACCTGATAGTCTAATAATCAGAATATCCATCCGACAAGTGGGAGACGAGGTTCGAATCCCACTTAGGGTGTGATATACAAATACAATAAAAGGTCCATTTACTTCCTTACTATCTGGTACAAATATGAAAAATCCGTTTACGTTCTGTTGCATCAAACTGTATATTTTTGTGTTATTAGTTAGTAATCATCTCCAACACGTAATTATAAATATTAACAAAAAGAAATTTTTTATATTATAACATATAAGTATGTTCAAAGAAAGTTAACAAAATCAGTGGCTGTTAGATAATGTTTTTATAACCAACTCGTAATAGAACTTATTTGTTTGCAAACATTAAACTCCTCAAATTAAGAGTAGTTCCATAAAAAATCACTTATAAAATAAAACATTACGAAACATCAATACAAATTTAATAACCAGACACATTTCCAATAATAAATCATCCACAACACGCAATTGTGTAATGTCAGTATTCAATACAAAATAAAATTACATTCACGTCCATACATTGTAAACAAAGAAACAGATGACCCCTCTTTCCTACAAGAAAGACATAACATGACACTCAGTACAAAAATACCCGGGGTAAATTTTTAACAATGTGTATGTGTACAACCAGCATTGCTTGGCAACAAAGAATAACTAGGTAAACACCTTTTTTTCGAAGCGCGACTCGTTCGATTGAATGTAGGTATTTCATCACAGACTTTTATCAATAATACATTAAGTGGACTAGAAAAGATGGGCCTTCTAGAACATGCAAATTGCGTGGCGCTGATTGTTCTATTCTTGATAACTTGTGCCAGGACACAAACGACACAGAACATCAACGTCTGTGAGTAAAAAATCGTGTTTTAGTTCTTGTTCGGCATTCCTGTTTTAGTATTTGTGAATGAAGAAGGGAATTTGGTGGCGGAAAAAGCGGTGGATGTTGCTGTCAACTACATAAAGAAAAACAATAAATTGGGTGTCAACACAGATCCTGTTAAAGTGGTTGGAAATAGAACAGATGCATCGGGGCTTTTGGATTCTTGTAAATTTTAAAATACCAACAAAGTGGTTGTTTATTAATAATGTTGCTTAGTGTGTAGCAGCTACAACGACATGTTGGCAAGTTCTATGTTTCCACATTTGGTCTTGGATACCACCATGACGGGTCTAGCTTCAGAAACAGTTAAATCGTTCACAGCAGCTTTAGGTATACCGACAATCAGTGCCTCTTTTGGCCAAGAAGGTGATCTACGACAATGGAGGAACATTGACGAAAATGAGAAAGAATATCTCATCCAGATTCTACCACCGGGTGACATTATTCCAGAAATTGTCAGAACAATAGTGCTTAACCAAAACATAACAAACGCAGCTATACTTTTCGACGACTACTTCGGTATGAATTCCAAATTACTAACACGTGTATCCAACTGTCCTTTGTAGTCATGGACCACAAATACAAATCGTTGCTTCAAAATGTGGCAACCAGACATGTTATCGCACCAATTAAAGAACCAGATAAAATCGGAGAACAACTCAAACAACTAAGAAAATTAGATATTGTCAATTTTTTTATTTTAGGGAGTTTTGAAAATATCAAACGTGTTTTAGATGCTGCTGATAGTGTAAATTACTTCAACAGAAAATTTGCTTGGCATGCCATCACTCAAGACAAAGGGGACTTAAAGTGCAATTGCAAAAACGCGACCATTATGTTGGCTAAACCTGTAATAGACGCGCAGTATCAAGACCGCCTCGGTTTGATAAAGACGTCTTATCAACTAAACGCAGAACCGGAAATAGCCGCCGCTTTTTACTTTGACTTGGCGCTGTATTCGTTCCTAGCAATCAAGTAAGTAAACACTTGTTTTGTAAATTATTTGTGTTCGGAAAGGAGTGATAGATGCTGATTTCTACTTTTTTTAGAGAAATGATAGCAGATGGTGCTTGGAAAAGAAACAATGTCACTAACTACATTACATGTGACGAATACGACGGCAAAAACACACCTAAACGTATAGGTCTAAATCTGAAAAAATACTTCAATAAGGAAACTTCAGAAACTCCGACCTACGGTCCCATAAGCATAGTTTCAAACGGTTACAGTTTCATGGAATTCAACATGCAACTAAGTGCAGTGGGTGTGAGAGAAGGTTCATCAGACAAGTCTATTGCTTTGGGGACTTGGAAGGCCGGCTATGACAACAATTTAACCCTTCTGGATTCTCAAAGTATGAAAAACTATACTGCTGATGTAGTGTACAGAGTAGTGACTGTGGAGGTATTACCAACCTTCGTGTTTTTTATTAAGTCTAAAATCATTTTTCCAGCAAAAACCATTCATTATTAAAGACGATTCCGCTCCGAAGGGTTACAAAGGATACTGCATCGACCTCATCGATAAAATTGCCGAAATATTAAACTTTGACTACGAAATATCAACAGTCAGTGATGGCAAGTTTGGAAATATGGATGAAAATGGAAAATGGAACGGCGTCGTGAAAGAACTGATGGAAAAACGTGCCGATATAGGTCTTGGATCTATGTCGGTCATGGCCGAACGTGAAAACGTGATCGATTTTACTGTACCGTACTACGACCTAGTGGGAATCACTATTTTAATGAAACTTCCAACAACTCCTACTTCTTTGTTCAAATTTTTGACAGTCTTGGAAAATGAGGTGTGGTTGTGCATACTAGCGGCTTATTTCTTCACGAGGTATTAAGATTTATCACCCATCTTAAGAACACATGATTTGATAAAACTCTTCAGCTTCTTGATGTGGGTGTTCGATAGATGGAGTCCTTACAGTTACCAGAATAACCGAGAAAAATACAAAGACGATGAGGAAAAGCGTGAATTTAACTTGAAGGAGTGTCTTTGGTTTTGTATGACTTCACTAACTCCACAGGGAGGTGGTGAAGCCCCGAAAAATCTATCCGGGCGTTTAGTAGCAGCTACGTGGTGGTTGTTCGGTTTCATCATCATAGCTTCATATACAGCTAACCTTGCAGCTTTTTTGACTGTTTCCAGATTGGACACACCTATAGAATCTCTAGACGACTTATCAAAACAGTATAAAATTCAATATGCTCCTCTAAACGGATCATCAACTATGACCTACTTCGAACGAATGGCTAACATAGAAGCTAAATTTTACGAGTACGTTTTCACGATTTTTCCACTTTTAATCAACCACGATTTTTAGAATATGGAAAGATATGAGCTTAAATGACAGTCTGTCGGAAGTAGAAAGAGCCAAACTTGCCGTTTGGGACTATCCAGTGAGTGACAAATACACTAAAATGTGGCAAGCTATGAAAGAAGCCGAACTACCCAATACACTCGAGGAAGCAGTGAAAAGAGTTCGAATTTCAAAATCCTCAAGTGAAGGTTTTGCCTATTTGGGTGATGCCACCGACATCAGGTATCTAGAAATCACCAACTGCGACCTTCAAATGGTGGGAGAAGAATTTTCCCGGAAACCCTACGCTATCGCTGTCCAACAAGGATCACCCTTGAAAGACCAGTTCAATACGGCGTAAGTTACAAAACCCTTCACTCTTCCCCACGTCCCTCTGTCTTAGAATTTTGCAGTTACTAAATCGACGAGAACTAGAAAGACTAAAAGAGTTGTGGTGGAGTAAGAACCCTGAAGCCAAGAAATGCGATAAGCAAGATGACCAATCTGATGGAATCAGTATACAAAATATTGGTGGTGTCTTCATTGTCATTTTCGTGGGTATTGGATTGGCGTGTGTGACATTAGCGTTCGAATACTGGTGGTACAAATACAGGAAGGGGTCTAAGGTGGTGGATGTTCAAGGAGCACCAGCTGTCAAACACCATGATATGACCACGAAAATTGGTGACGGTTTTAATGCTAAAGTAAATAAGTTGTATCCACGTTCACGATTTTAACTCGATTGTCGATTTTTTGTGCACACACATGTGTTCATTGATCGGATTTCGATTGAATGTGGTTTTATTAATGCAAAAACGCACAAAATTTTACACTGGACAAACTTCGTGTAAAAGATAAAATGGTATTTTGGGTTTGTGCTCTGCGATAACAAAAGTTTGGGTTTTGTGTTAAGAGAATTAGATGTTTTTATGTGTGTACATTTTTCTACAATTGGTTTAGACATTTTATCAATTATTGTTTTTGTGTAGAATCAAATGAAGAAAATATTTGTAGTAACATTAGGACAAAAAATAAATTTATTGTGGACAGAACTGTACTGGTTTTATTTTTAAATAACCACAATACCACATCCTAGTGTAGTACTCTAATGAAATGTCAACGCCATTACAAAAGAGTTATAATCATAAGAATTATAAACATAAATCAACAATGTTTTACTACTACAATTATAGCTAAGTTCAAGCTGCTTCAATAAAACATTTTTTTAGCAGCAATAAATACAAAACAAAAAGTGTAAAGAGCTAAAAATTGAAATAACAGGTTGACAGTAGTGGCAAAAACTTGGGTTGACCGCTTATTACTGCAATCCAAGTAAAATTTATCCTAAAAACATTACAAGACCAATCTGACAACGTCAATCTTGTTGTAGTGATAATTAAAAAAAAAATTATCTACTAACAATAATGCTTATGACTTATGAATGTTGTTCTTTGTTCCTTTAAGTTTTTATATATTTGTACTATTCTCTTGCGATTGAAAATAAATACATCTGCAAATTTTAAATCTTTTTGTGACCTAAAATTTTACAAAAATGATAAAAACTATTTACCACAAGAAGACCTATCATCTATCAGTTGTGGTTTAAAGCACATTCAGTGTTACTAAAGTTATGCGACGTATTACACGAGAAAAAATACCCCACAAATTCATCGATCATTATACCTAATTCAGTAGTGTCAAATCAGATATCGGTAATTGTTTTTTTTTTTTGGCGCCAGTTTTGCCAAACTTCAAGTCGATGGTCATACTCTATACTTCAGCCCCAAACGCCCGTGTTTTTCTATACATCTGTACGTAATTCATCTGCAGCTGCTTGTGGTACCCTAACTTTTTCTTTTTTTGGAATCAAATTTCCCTCTTGTTTTCAAAATTTTTGTTTTCATTTCTGTCTCTATGAGTTTTTTTAGTTCTGGACAGGAACATTCAGTGCCATTCAACCTTAGATATATTTAGGTATAATCATGGTAGAAGGAGACATGGTATAGGCATACGCATCGGGTGTGACGTCAAGTGGGGTGAAATTAGCGCGAAATTTAAAATACAATTCGTTATCCGACAACTAATTGACGTATTGGACAGAGCAATGACAACTCAAGCTGAAATTCCCTAGAGTTCCCTAGCGAAGCTCACAAGAGTCACAAGGTCGTTGATGCCACCTAACGTCACAAATGGATGCGCAGACCATTTTTAAATTGGTACATCGGATGCCTATACCATGTCTCCTTCTACCATGGGTATAATAACTAATTGTACCGTGAAATCAGCAAAATATAAAAAGTATCCATGGTAATACTGTACAGAACAAATATACGTCAAAAAGTGTGTCATCACCCACCCGGGACTGCGATTGACACACGGAAAACACAAAAGTAAAGGGGTAATATGTATTTAAAAAAAAGTACGACCTTGTTTGTATTCATTGCACCCTCCTATTATCTCAAAATTTTCAAAACAGCCGTTGTTATATACTTCGCCTTATTTAAATAAAGTCCATCTTTTTTTTTACCTCTATTCTAACATCCTCATTTGATATCAATATATTTTTGACAGATTTTGTTTCTTCTCGTGCACTGATAACATAAAAAGTAAAAATCACTTTAAAATTGCGCCATTTTTTGTTATCTAGTTAGATAACAAAAATGTATCCTTAAAAAACCAAGATGTTAGAAACAACACAGGATACACATAAGAACGTTAGTAATAAAATTACCGCAACTGATAATGAAGCTAATAATGTCAAATATCATGTATTATCTTAACCACAATGATATGCAACAAAACAAAAGAACGGTTGCTGGGGCACTAAATGTTTTAGAATGGCCAAATTTAAAAGCCTCCAGAAAAAGACCTCAAAACAGTCTTTTTGGCCACAAACACGATCGTCACAAACGAACGAAAAATGTAAACAGGTAGAATTCAACGATAAGTTAGCAACAATGAAAAAAACTTTGACTTGAACGCTTCCCTCCGGTTTCAGCCAATGAAAACCAGCGTTGCACTATCTTCCACAAAGCGCGGGAAAACGTACATTGTAATATATATCCTTCGCAAGTGTCAGCCATCATCAGTCTGCAATCACCTGTTAATTAGTGTAGAAACAGCAGAACAAAGCTCCTTTATTCGACCCAAAAGAATAAAAAATGGAACCTTCACCTGGTTGCAGAAGAAACTCTGGGAACAACGGAGCTGCAGACAATCTGAACGTCGGCGATTCTACTGAAAGTGATGAAACTGTCGACAAGTACGATCCCTCCACGTCTAGTAGAATCGGTCACTCAAGTGAATCTCTGGGTATCACATATCCAGTTAGTGAAAGAGGGGATTCAGATCCGAACAACTCCGTCGCCAGTACGAACGGTACGACTAATCAGTTCGCAGGGCAGGAAGAAGACCCGCACGAAGGATCAGTGCAGCGGCTGTGCCACGGAAATAATAGTGAGGAAGCTACTGAAAAACACACCACAAAACTTGAAGTTTTCTTCGCGTTGGGTACCACAATTCTTCATATTTTAAATGTGGTAAAGTTTTATGATACCATTATTTACCGAAGCAACGATAATTTTTATAGTTTGACGAGCATATTTTATTTAATATCAGCTTTTGTGACAACATGTTTTAGCTGGAATATAAACAAATTTAAGCCACAACAAAAAGAATGTAATTTTTATAGACGTGGAATTTTAATCGCTGCATTTGCCGTTATCCAAATTTGTCATATTTACTATAGAATTATTTCTGAGCCACAAAGCTATGACCAAATTTTTTTAACCATTCTTTGGTATCTGTTAACGACGATACCACTTTTTATTATCTTTCACCTATTTACTTTGGAAATATATGTACTGATGTCCTTTTACGGTATTAAATCTCTAATAAGCAAAAAGCGGGAAGAACAACAGTATTACTATTACCTGCTGACAAAAACTCGGGCCGACGCTGGACTTCTTGGTCTATTAGATGGAGCTTTCAGAATAATACCACATCAGATTTTACAGATATACATTTTTTTCAAATTTGGGTTCAGCTGGCGTAAGTAATATACATAGTGAATTTCTTTTAGTACCCATTTATTTTCAGATTTTGACCAGGTTGCAGAACTTTTCTCATTTTTGGACATAGCTTGGTCTTCAACCTTTTACCAGTCTTTACTCAGGATGCACCGCCCGAACAAACACGACATGAACCTAAAGATTAAGTACTGGTATTACACTTGGAATTTATTTATCTGTATTTCAAGAATGTTGTGTATTGGCGCTATAGCAGCCCTTTGGCCCGTTGCTGTTGTAATTTTGTCATTTGTGCATTGTGCAGGATGGGCTTTTTGGTTATGGTGGAACCATCCGTCACTTGATTTTACCCGTATTAGTAAATATTGGCACATACTCTTTTGCTGTGTGATTGGTGTCGTCTACTTTACGTTTCCAATTAACTTAGACGATAAACCAAAGAAATATTGTATATTTTATGGTATAATGTTGATGGAGAATTGTGTAGGAATACTAATTTGGTACTTTAATGAAGAGGCATCATGGGGTTACTTTGTATTAATTCTAGCAATAGGTAGTACTGGTCTTGGAATGATATTTCAGATATTATACTACGCTCACTGTCATCCTAGTAAAGTTTATGCCAAAAACATTACGGTACTCGTACAAGAAAATCTATTTGGTAGTAGTGATAATTAAAAAAAAAACGATGTTTATACCATGGTCCAAAATACTTCTCGTAAAAGGAATAACGTAAGTTGATCCTATTTTATTCTAATAGCTCTGTCGATCATGTCCTACGTATGCTGTCACAGCTTCCCTTTAGGAGAAAACTTTTGGGTCATAGAGTACTTATAGAAATTTGTTCCGTGTATTATGTTGTACACTCTTTAGTTATGTTCTTTGTTCCTTTATATATATTTATAGTATTCTCTTGAGATTGCAAATAAATATATTACCTGCAAATTTTTACTCTTTTCACGGTCATGGCACAAATGTGACACAGTTACACGAAAGACTATCTATTTATCATAAGAGGACCTTATCAGCTGTGGTTTAGAACACATTAAGCGCCTTAGTATGCTATCTATTGGTGCTTTATTAAAAGTTATCATAGATTCCTATAAAAAGTCGTTTGAAGCGTAGTTACTAAACTTGCCAGACAGATTGTCGCAGTTAGTATTTAGACGTCGTGATAGGTGGACCAGGTGATATCATCCTTTCTAACCGGTGTTAAAAAGAAAACCATGGTTTTCTACCCCTTCGACAAGAGGATCCAATCTCGAGACCCCATAGAACTCAAGAGTAGAATACGTCTGGTATCTTACTGGAAACTGCTGCGACTATTTTTGACGGATTTTCTCCAACTATTCAACATATTTTTTGTCCAATACAAACTGTTTCATCTGGATATTGAAAATGAAATCGGCTACATTGCAACACTTGTGATTTCCTTGTTGTCGGGGGTAGTTACCTTGATTTTCAGCATACGGATTGATAAAATAAATCGCAAGAACCCAGCTACAATTATGTCGATCGTAATTTTCTCACTTTTGGCCGTAAAATACATCATCGACTCGTGGTTTGCTCCACCGAGAATTCTTTGCTGTGGACCGTATGGAAAGATCGTGACGAAGCTAATAACATCAATTTTTGTGTTGTTCCAAGTGCCAAACTCTTTTCGACAAATTGTTGTCACGATTTATGCTGTTAGGTGTAAATTTTCGAAAACCGAAGAAGACAGAATTAAATTTTATGATGAAATGGTCGATGCTGAAGCCGACGCCGGGTTGCTAGGAATACTGGAGTGCTATCTAAGGGGGGCGCCTCAGCTGATCGTCCAGATTACTCTCGTTTTCTTCAGACACGATGATTTTACACAAATTTCGTGTAAGTACCTGACGCTAAGTGATAATTTGAGCAATTTTTCACAATTATTGCACAATTTGTCAGAATGGTGGCGGCCTGTAACAGATTGCAACACGAAAATAGTATATTTTGCAACAAGAAGTGAAGGTCATACTTTTTTCGTGAGTTGAGTATTGTTTCACGAGTCGCGCAGCGACGAGTGTAACACACTCAACGAACGAAAAAATTGACTTTCAGTTCGAGTCGCAAATGCTGTTTTTTCTACGACAAAAAAGATACCTAACTACATATAAATTTCAGGAAATTTTATTTTGTAATATATTGAAAATTACAGTTATAATAATTATGTGCAACACCTGCTGCTTTAGCATTATTTTCTTTTTTATTAATTATTGATGAAGGCACATTGTCTTCAAGTGCATGTGATGCAGGAGGAACCTCTGCTTCTGTTATTTCTGTCTCCTTAGGTGACAACGAACCCTCAATAGGTGGTAAACTTCCGATATTTTCTTTGCTAATCTGTAATGAATCAAACAATTTTTTCCCTCTATTAATTTTGTTAGTAATCGAATCTTCGATGTTTTGTTCAGCTACAGAACTCGATTTCCATCCGCCGTGCTGCTTTATTTCAGTCATGTTAGCACCCGTGTTTGCAAGAAGTGTCGTGGAAGATCTCCTTAGAGAATGGCCAGTATATAACTGTGAATCTGGTAATTTGAGGAATTTAGCAATTTCTTTTGGAACAGATGCAAATTTATTAATTTCAATAACTTGTCGGGTGCACTTGTTGTGTTGGTAATTCAAAAAAAATCTACGAGTCGTATTGTCTATTCCTTGTGGACGAAGATTGATGTATCTCTTGCAGATTTTATAATGGGTATTAACAATTGTAAATGAACGAGGTAAATTTGTTTTTGTCTTTGGAATAATCACAAATAAAGCGCTTCCTAAATCTTGAACATCTTGAGTTTCTAAATCTTTTAATTCATGTGAACGACAGGCCCCACAGATCCCAAATATTAGAGCAACCTTCAAATAGTCTAGTATGAAACATTATAAAACACAACCTCAACTCAACTTACCTTCGTGAACAAGAATTTTTCATCATTTGCTTTATCGAGAAACAACTGAATTTGTTCCGAATTCAATACTTTTGCCTTTTTAGATTTGAAACCCGTCGACTTCCTTTTTAGAAAAGTTTTTAATTTGAGGTATTTAGAAATATCAACATCATGTTTCAGACTTATTACACTTCGTAGCATGGAATACATGCTCCATAATGTGGTGGGCTTCAGACTGTTTGACAATGTACCGAAATAAGCCATCAAGACATTTTCGGAAAAAGATGTCACTCGGTTGTCCTTCCGCCAAGTTATAAATTTTTCGTATACAAACTGATATCTCTGTTGGGATTTTTGTGGTAAGATATCATTTGAAGCGGATGTTGCTGCTTGCATCACACAAAGGGGTGTGGAACTACGCGATTCTTCTGAATCAGACATGGCTTTTCTTTTTCAATAAATTAGGAACACAATTGAAACCTAATATGTCATTACGAAATAAAACAATCACGTAGAATAAACAATATGACTACTTGACTAGCGCTACTGGTTGCTTAGACGTATGCAGATCTTGCTGCGTCAAACATTTTTGTTTAATTTTTATTCAAATTTATTAATCAATTTAGTTTCAATTTAAATAGGTAATCATATTTCATTTCTTAACAGTTGATCAAATTAAAAAAAAGATACTTAAATTTTCAGTGGATTTAAACTTTAAATTTTCACTTTTCACATAGCAGTCCATGGTTACTTTCGCTTCTAGAATGAATAAGTATTTTCACTTCTAGAAGTGAAAATGATGTTTTCGTTAAGGGTAAACGATGGGAAAAAGTCTACTTTCATATATAGGAGTAGAAAAAAGACTTTTCGTCATTGCATCATTTCAATTCGAGCTTCATGGATTGTTTCTCACTCAACTTTTCTGTTTTTGAAAAAACACGAAAGTGCGAATTTTGTTTACTTTCCAACATGAGAGAAATTCTTTTGTGTTTCATAAAAGTCAAATTAAAAATTAGTAGACCATTTTTTATTATTTTTTATTAGAACGCTTAATAAAATAAAAGTAGAACAATATTTCCTGAAATAAAGAACTCTTGCATTGGCCCCTTTAGAAGTTTACTGTAAAAAAACAGGCAAAACGACTGAAAACAACAGGTTGTAAATTTTTTGACATTTTTTTTTTCAGGGCTTGAACAAGTTTCTATTGCTGCTGCTTTGGGTGTGGTGCTACCATGGACTGCAACCTCCTACCATAATTCGCTAAGAACCCAGAAGAATGACCATTTTCCATTTTCAACAGTGGTGGTGTTTTTCATATGGAATGCATTCCTCCTAGCAGCAAGAATTCTTGGTATTAGTGTAGTTCTAGCGTTTTGGCCTGTACATACGGGTGTAACAATTCTAGTCCATTGGCTGGTGGCAACACTTTTGTTGTATTATAATTTTCCACCAGTTGATTTTTATAAGAAGAACAAAATCTGGCATTTTATGTTCTGCTCAATTTTTGGGCTGGTTTATATTTTTAATTCTATTAATATGACCAAAGAAAAAAAGTTTTGGCATTACATGTGCTTCTATGGGACTGTATTTTTGGAAAATACAGTTTCACTTATTCTATGGTGTACAAACGAATATACTAAGACTGTGATATATAGAATTAGTTTTGTTACTGTGAGTGAAATTTTGTTTATGGGTGGCATTCTTATTATGATTTTGTATTATGTAAAATTCCATCCGCGTAACGAGAAGTATAGGTCTTGTGAAAATGATCAGTTTGGTGAAAACATTCCATTGAAGATATTTAATATAAATCAGTGTGAAAACAATGAATCTGTGGATATTCCATCTGTATAGGACAAAATCCAAAGTAATTTGTTCATAGATAGGTTTTAAATAATATAAGTAAGTATAAGTATAAGTACTATAAGAATCGCAAATTCTTTTTAATTTTATAAAGATAAATAAGTGTTTCGTTTTCATTAATTTTGTTTGTACTGATTAGCATAAATCTTATAAACCTACTCTGGTAGTCAGGGATATTTCTGCACAGCCATGTCATATGTATTAAAATATAAGTTATTTAAAACTTAAGCCTGAATATCTCTAATTCCAGAGTAAAATATGACGTTTCTAGAGTATATTTTATTGTTACTTTATAGGAGTATTTAGTATTTAGTGTTTAATATTTATTCATAATTTATTTGTCTGTTCAATGATATAGTGTTACTTAATAATTTCAAGTTAACGTATCCAGCGTTAAGGTAAACGCTTTGTAAAACAACACGTCAATCAATTAAATACTTATGTAATATTGTAGATTTTAAAATTTCTTGCAAATTTTTGTTCAATATAAGTTGTCCATGTTTACATATACCTATCATGTGATTTTTTATTTATGCTTGTCTTGGATATGTTTATTTCATTTAAAAATTTATGTATTATGACACTACCATCAGCTTATATTTATGCTTGTCTTAGATATGTGAAAGCTAATCCCAATCAGTTTAGATCCCTGGACCATGAGCATCAAACAAGATATGAAGAATGGCTACAAACAGATTTTCAAAGATTAACGAGAACAAGAACAGCTCTACGGTATTATTGTATTACACTATTTAATGTACTTCCAGTGTCATTAAAAGAGTTACCTGAGAATGTATTTTGTAAAGTTGTCCAAGAATTATTAATTAATAACGTTTTCTATTCTACATCTGAGTTTATTAAATTTAAGTTTACGGACATGTGAAACATTTTTTGTAATGATTATCACGAAATATATTATTATTATTATTATTATTATTTCCTCAGTAAGTAGCTACTGTTTGTCTTTTTTTTAATAAATGCTTGTTTTTTTTCATTTTTATTGAAAAATCATTTAAGAATACTTACAAAAGTCGTCATTTTAAAAAACAACATTCACTAAGTACATCTCATAATACAAAACGTATTCTTCTACTTCTTGAACCTAAGCTAGAAAACCATTGTAATAGGATTTGATGAATGGCTAATTTTGTGTTGTTTAGACGTTTCATAACTTTTAAAATATGAAAAAGTAGGTCCTTATCTCCCTCAGTCTGTTGTCTGTTAACGATTGTATTGGACAGGCAGTCCAAAATGACTGACTAATTGTTGTAAAATTTAGGTATTCCTGTAGCTTAAAAAAAACAAAATTTTAGATAGTTTTGAATAATCAGAAGTGTGATAAATATGTACAAAATCTTTACACTTGTTTCTAAGTAAAAATTTGCGGAATTTTACTTTTTCATTTTTCTATTTATTGAAATATTATGTTTTCTTTTAAAAATTTCGTTACTACTTCCATCGTTCTTCATTCTCTTTGTAGATATTTTTGTATATAATCTTTATGTATATTGTGGTGACCGAATTTAAATCAAAGTTTTCCCGCTGAACTTAATTAACAGCGGCGCGAAATCACACTTGAATAATTTGAATTTGAAAAAAAAAAAAAACTCAATCACAAAAAGGAAATCGTTAAACATAGGCAACCAAATATGCACGTCGGGTTTAATGCATGTAGTACCGCAGGCACCAAGGCTGTTCTGTAGGATTTAGTTATAGCGCTAGGGCGTTTTTAGTTAGAAGGTTGGTTGGTTGGTAGAGAAGCTGCATGGCGTAGCGTCATTATGAATGTGCTGGTGTGATTGTAAACACGTGGTAAGCGCTAGGTTTAAATTAGTTGGTTTGGTAGTTAATAAAACGGGAGGAAGCCTTTGTTTAACGACAATCAATCGTAACTGACGTCACTTCCGGTCGACGCGAGACACGTGTTGTAAATTTGTTTCATTGTTTGTAAATTCACCAATCAAGTTAGTTTTTCTTAATAGTCAGCTAGCGCAAACACAGTTTAACAATCAGAATTATTTAAATAAACCCCTTGCTAGAAGATTTCATGAAATTCACTTAGTCAGGAAAAATACGTTATGTTTAATTACGAATAGGTCTCTGTATGCATATACGTAAGTGTTACATTATAACACTTCTAAATTCTTCACACAAGATTGCTAATAGTTCATTTACGGCAGTTAAACAAGTTCATTATACTGCGAACTGAGGGGAGGGGTTTAAAATGTTTTCTTCCCTTAGGCGGTTATCATCGTTATCATGATTAATTCATCGGGGCATGCCTCACAACGCCACAGATTGATTAATTCATCAGGGCATGCCATCACAACGCCACAGAAATTGATTAATTTATCAAGGCATGCCCTCCGAATGCTACAGATTGATTACATCACCGAGACGCTTTTTCCTCGCAACGATTTTAAAATTTACATCACCGAGACGCTTTTTCCCTCGGAGCGATGATTGGATATTTTTGTGTTTGTTTATTATGTGTTTTGTTGGGGTAACCAGTTCGCGGTATTTTAAACTCTCAAAGTAAATTGTTTTTTGAAATAACCAATCACTTAGATCATGACATAATTTAACATAATGTAAACTTCTTTGTTTGAACCGTTGATAAAGTGTGGGAAATATCAATCTCTTGTAAATTTTGTTAACGCTGCAATTTTCCACCTCATACTATATTTCTTAATCTCACAATCTTAACCTCAGTAATTTTATTTGTTGTATAATTTTAATTGAACGTAAATTTTATGTTCGACAATTTTTAACCTCACATAATATTTCTATTTGTACAAGTTAATTTCACACCAGATCTTCTGTTTCATAAATCCTTGCTAAGTTTGTTTTGTAAATACTTTGTTGATGAATGTTTCTATCATATAAATTATTTGATGTCTAATTTTTAACCTGGCATCAGAATTATTTGTTGGTTAAATTTTCATTGTATGGCGAATTTAAATGTTGTTTATTGCTCGTTGAAACTTTAATACTTGTTTAGTTGTTGTTAATATCAAAGTTATAAGTAGACAGCGGATTTCTGTCGGGCTTGGCAAGGCCAAACTCGGTACGGCTCGTGCGGGATGGGAATTCAGTGCAGCTACTGGCTGCACTTCGTCTATTTTAGAATAAAATAACGGTACTTCGTTGTACTTTGCTGTTAATTCCCGTTCTCATTTACCTAGCTGTTTTACGAATTAAGGTTTCGTGAATTGTATTTATGGAATAAGTGAAAATTAAATGCACTGATTATCACCCGCGACTGATTCGCAGCGATTCACGCGTCCCCACCTATAATCGTGACGTAGCCCGACAGAAATCCGCTCTCTAGTTATAAGAGATTGAATATTTAAAAATGGAATTGAGGTTAAATAACACAGAAAACGTGGCAGAAGCGAAGTTCGGTTCCTAGTCGGGCTGGCGAGATTGATGGTGTCACCTATCCACAGGTTTGGATAGATTCAGGGGCGGCCGCCGATGTTGTAAAGTTCTAGGCTTCGTGCTAGCCTAGATCCTCTTGCGGGTCGGACGACCATAATGGCCTAGTTCCGCAGGGCTCGTTCGTAATGGATATGCGTGTGGGGTAGGCTTTGTGACAGATAGAATCACCGTCGTGGGGGGAGAACAGCCCCAGACCGGTAGCCCCAAACTCCGCTTATGCTACAACACCCCAGGGGTACTTTCGTTGTGCTTCTGTATTTGCATCCAGTTACTTAATTCAGATTTTGCTTTTTTTATTAAATTTGTGATATTCAAATATTTGCATTGATTCCAAATAGATGTATAGAATTTTCCGTTTGTTCGCATTTCATATGTGTATGTCTGTCAATTCGCGAGTGTTTTTCTTTTATATATTTTAAGGTGTTTGAAATGTAATATTTCGGTGAATAAAACCCTAGGGGGTTTTTGGGAATGAAGACCGATGACGCCTTGACCCTGCGGAGTCGCCAGAAGGGCAAGCTGAGTCTCTTTCGCTCTTCGTTTCTTTTCCTCCCAAGGAAGGATTTCGACCTCCCTAATTTTGTCTATTATTTCTTGCGCTCTCAACTCACATGCAGTATATGTATGCTCACTTGTATGAACGAACGTCTTCCCGCCATTTTGCAAAAAAAAAACACACAACTTAGGTTCCTATTTGTTAAACGATCACAGCCAAGGCCAAACTTTGATTTTTTAAATTTTTCGCGGGCCTTTAAAGCTTTTTCAAGGTTAATTTAAAGGCGGGAAGTTTGGGTTATTACAATATTCTTTTTTAAGTTGAAATTTTCAAATTATTGCAAATTTACACAATTAATATGGTAACAGTTTCAGCAGATTAATCCTTGATAATTTTGCAAAAAATGAAATATCAAACATCGTTTTAAAGTAACGGTTAATTGTTTATATATTAAAATCAATGTTAAATATTAGAATCTATGGTCAATTATGTAAAAGGAAAATGGTGGAATTAATACTTATTTACGATGGTTAGGTAATAATAATAAATAATGAAAAAAATCACATGTAACCTGTTTTGTTATCTCTAAATGAATCGAGATCAACGAAATTCAGAATCTCTAGAATTACACAAAGTACTTTTAACTCATACTGTAAACTACTACGTCGGTCTACACGAGAAAAAATACTGCACAAATCAATATAATTCAATAGTTTGTGTTAAATCAGATGCCGGTAATTGGTAATTGTTTTTTGACGCCAGTTTTGTCAAGCTCTAACTCGATGGTCAGACTCTTCATTTCCACCTGTTTTCCTATTATTATTCATCTGTAGGTACGTAATTCGCCTGCAGGTGCCTCTAGGGCCAGAACACTTTCTTTTTGGGTCCAAGTTACCCTCTAGTTCTAAAGATCTTTTGTTTTCACTATCTCTTCTCAGGTCTCTGAGTTTTTCTAGTTCTGGACAAAAACTTTCTGTACCATTCAGCCTTATATATACTTGGGTGTAGTGACATACCTTAAATTACATTTTATTTTTTATTACCTAAAACATTATAAAAAAACTAATACGTTAGAAACAGCGTTACCTATTAGTAATCAAATGACCGCAACTGATAGTGCTTACTGCTGATAATGAAGCTAATAGTGTCAAAAACTAATGCGTTTTCTGTAACCACAATCATATGCAGAGAAATGAAGAAACGGTTACTTTAGGTTGGCAGAACTGGGGCCTTGGTACTATATATTTTATAATGGCCAAATTCAAACCGTTTCAGCGAAAACATACAAACATAATATACTTAAAAATAGTTTTTTTTAAGCCACATACACGACCGTCACAAACGAACGAAAAGTGTAAAGAGGTTGGCAACCATGACAAAAACTTCGGCTTGACCGCTTCTCTCCGGTTTCAACCGGTAAAAACGAAACGCCCCACCATCTTCCACAAAAGCACGGGAAAACTTTACGTCATCGTTCACAAGTGTCAGCCACCATCAGTCTTCAGTAGTGTTGGGCATAATCGATATATTTCACTAATCGAATGAATCGAAATAATCGTTTAAAATAATCGAATGATCACTCGAAAATTCGATTATTATCCAGTGCGCATGACTTAACGAAATTTGAATCGAACATTGAATTACGATTTATTTATCGATTGAAAATATTTTATTAAAATGTCAGTGGTCCGTATTCTTTTCCCTTAATTAATATTTAGAGATGTTCGTTATTTTTTTTTCTCTTTAGTATATGCTTTTATCGTATTCTTTTCTCACTAATTCTAATCAAAATTTTAGAAACCGAATGGCTTAACAAAAAGAAAATCAGACGAGCCAATTATGTTTGTAAATTACACTGCTTTTCAAAAAAATTGCAACATTTACCACGCCCTGCATATTCGTAAAATTGTCAAGCATTTCGACCGATTCTTCTTGCAGCAATTTCGCGGTACGACAAACCAGCCTCTCGCATAGCCACAATTCTGCCTGTGTCAAAGGCGCCAATTTGTTCAAATTTAACATTTCTTCACATCGGTGGCATTTTATTGCATAAAGTGATACAACTGACAGACACCCATAAAAATAAAATGTAAAATTTGTTAAAAAAAATGATAAAATTTTTAACTTCTTCACCAAGAAAAACATGAAAAATATTCCAAAGCGTGCGTTGTTTTCCACCATATTTTCATCATCTTTTCCGGAGAACATGGTGCTTTGATGGGTACATATAAGTCATGATGCTTAATGCAGGTGAATGGCTAATAGTGGAAGACTCTATACAGATCCTAAAAATTTTGGATTTAATGACAACAGCATTGTCTGGAGAAAAATTTATTACATTGTCATCAATAATTCCACTTGTGCAAGGAGTTCAGCATTCCATTAATTTAATAGATTGCAAAACAACTGTCGGCATGGAATTAAAAACTGACATGCTTTCTGTGCTTTCTCGACGTCTGGGAAATTATGAGAAAGACAAAATATCGGCAGAAGCCACTTTCTTGGATCCTCGTTATAAAAAAATTGGATTTGGAACCCAAGAAAATGCAGAAAACGCAGAGAAATGGATTTTAGAAGAACTTGAGAATCTCATTGCTGGTTCACTTTCCGCTTCCCCACCTGTGCCAGAGACCAAAAACAAGCCTGATGACTCTTCTGTTAATGTTGATATGTTATGGAATTACCTTGATGACAAAATTGCCCGATCCACAAATGTATTAGCTGTTTCACCAAAAGCAAAAGCTATTGTAATGATAAAGCAATATTTATCAATGCCAAACATAGCCCGAACATGCAATCCTTTGAGCTTTTGGATGGACAATAAAAATTTGTTTCCCGAATTATTCAAGCTCCATGAAAAATATCTTTGTGCACCAGCCACTTCCGTACCGTCAGAAAGAATATTTTCGAAAACTGGTCTCATAACCAATTTGCGAAGAAACCGACTTGCACCTAAAAATTTAGATTATATTGTTTTTTTAAACACAAATTTGCAAATGTAACAATTAAATAAATTTTTATATTCCTAACCTTTCGTTATTGACATGTTCATCTTCAAAATGACATTTCGCATTCGCAGTGACACTTGTAACACACTACCACCAACCTAACAAATGAAATTTACTAACGATTTCGATTATTTTCTACGGTTAGTTGCCTGAACCCGAATGAATTATTTCGAAATCTCGAATCGTAATCGGTTCGTGTACTCGTGCGCAATCGGAACGAAAACCGAAACGAATAATCGAATAAACGAATGATTTCTAAACGATAATCGAATGATCGATTATTCGAGTATAATCGAGATATCTCGATTATATCATTCGTAATCGCCCAACACTACTAATAAACAGAAGAACATAGCGTGGGCGAAGTTACCAGAAAAATTTAACGCTATTTCTGGAACTGTTCCACGTTATCTAGATAAGATATCATAGATTCCTATAAAAAGTCGTTTGAAGCGTAATGTTACTAAACTTACCAAACTGACTGTCTCGAGAACATCATGTTTTACTACTCCTTCGATAAGAAAATACAATCTCGAGACCCCATTGAACTACGTCAGGTATGTTACTGGAAACTGCTGCAACTATTTTTGACGGATCTTTTCCAACTGCTCAACATATTTTTTGTCCAATACAAACTGTTTCATCTGGATATTGAAAATGAAATTGCCTACAATGCAACATTTGTGATTTCTTTCTTGTCGGGGGTAATTACCTTGATTTTGAGCATACGGATTCATAACATAAACCGCAAGAACCCAGCTACAGTTATGTCAATCGTAATTCTCTCACTCTTGGCCCTAAAATACATCATCGACCCTTGGTTTGGCCCACCGAGAATTCTTTGCTGTGGACCGTATGGAAAAATCGTGACGGAGCTAGTGACATCAGTTTTTGTGTTGTTTCAAGTGCCCAACTATTTTCGACAAATTGTTGTCACGATCTATGCTGTTAGGTGTAAATTTTCAAAAACCGAAGAAGACAGAATTACATTTTATCATGAAATTGTCGATGCTGAAGCCGACGCCGGGCTGCTAGGAATACTGGACTGCTATCTAAGGGGGGCGCCCCAGCTGATTGTCCAGATTGCTGCCATTTTCGTCAAATACGATGACTTTACACAAATTTCGTGTAAGTACCTGAAGTTAGGTGATAATTTGCGCAGTTTGTCTGTTTTTCACAATTGCACAATTTGTAAGATTTTTCGTCATTGCATCATTTCAATTCGAGCTTCGTCGATCGTTTCTCATTCAACTTTTCTGTTTTTGAAAAAACATAAAAGTGTGAATTTTGTTTCTTTTCCAACATGAAAGAAATTCCTTTATGCTTCATAAAAGTCAAATCAAAACTTTTTTATTATTTTCTATTAGAACGCTTAATAAAATGAAAGTAGAACAACGTTTCCTGAAATCGAAAACTCTTGCATTGGCCCCTTTAGAAGTTTGCTGTAAAAAAACGGGCAAAACGACTGAAAACAACAGGTTGTCAATCTTTTGACAATTTTTTTTTTCAGGGCTTGAACAACTTTCTATTGCTGCTGCTTTGGGTGTGGTGCTACCATGGACTGCAACCTCCTACCATAATTTGCTAAGAATCCAGAAGAACGACAATTTCTCATTTCCAACCGCGATTGTGTTTTTTATGTGGAATGCATGCCTTCTAGCAGCAAGAATTCTTAGTATTAGTGTAGTTCTAGCATTTTGGCCTGTGTATACGGGTGTAGCAGTTCTAGTCCATTGGCTGGTGGCAACACTTTTGTTGTATTATATTTTTCCGCCAGGTGATTTTTATAAGAAGGACAAAAACTGGCATTTTATGTTCTGCTCAATTTTTGGAATTGTTTATATTTTTAATGCTATTAATATGACCAAAGAAAAAAAGTTTTGGCATTACATATGCTTCTATGGGATTGTATTTTTGCAAAATACAGTTTCACTCATCCTGTGGTGTACATATGAATATACTAAGACTGTGATATATAGAGTTAGTTTTGTTATTGTGAGTGAGATTTTGTTTGTAGGTGGCATTCTTATTATGATTTTGTATTATGTAAAATTCCATCCACGTAACGAGGATAGATCTTATGAAAATGATCAGTCTGTTGAAAATATTCCATTGGAGATATTTAATATAAATCAGTGTGAAAACAATGAATCTGTGGATATTCCACCTGTATAAGATAAGATCCAAATTAATTTGTTTATAGATAGGTTTTAAACAAGATATTATAAGACTCGCGAAGTTTAATTTTATAAGAATAAATAAGTGTTCCGTTTTCAGTAATTTTGTTTGTACTGATTAGCATAAATCTTATAAACATACTCTGGTAGTCAGGGATATTTCTGTACAGCCATGTCATATGTATTAAAATATAAGTTATTTAAAACTTAATCCTGAATATCTCTAATTCCAGAGTAAAATATGACGCTTCTAGAGTATATTTTATTGTTACTTTATATTTAGTATTTAGTATTTAATATTTATTCATAATTTATTTGTCTGTTCAGTGATATAGTGTTACGTAATAATTCCAAGTTAACGTATCCAGCGTTAAGGTAACCGCTTTGTAAAACAACACTTCAATTCAAATATTTATTAAATTAAATTCTTAATAGGTTTTAAAATTTCTTGCAAATTTTTGTTCAACCTAAGTTGTCTACGTTTGCGTATATCATGTGATTAATAAGTAATACTGTTGTTTTTTTTAATAAATACTTGCTTTTTTTTCATTTTTTATTGAAAACCCATTTAAGAATACTTTACGAAAGGCGTCATTTTAAAAAACAACATTCACTAAACATATCTTGTTGTACAAAATGTATTATTATACTTCTTGAGCCGAAGCTAGAAAACCATTGTAATAGGATTTGGTGAAGGGCTAATTTTGTGTTGTTTCGACGTTTCATAACTTTTAAAATATGATAAAGTAGGTCCTTATCTCCCTCACTCTGTTGTCTGTTAATGATTGTATTGGACAGGCACCCCAAAATGACTAATTCTTGTGAAATTTAGGCATAATAATGGTATTCCTGTAGCTTAAAAAAAAACAAATTTTAGATAGTTTTGAATAGTCAGAAATGTGATACATATTGTGGTGACCGAATTTAAATCAAACTTTTCGCGCTGAAATTAATTAACAGCGGCGCGAAATCGCATTTGAATAATTTGAATTTGAAAAAAAAAAAAAAGTTCAATCACGAAAAGGAACTCCTTAAACATAGGCAACCAAATATGCATGGATGGTCTCTTGCACGTAGCGCTTAGGGATTAGTTCGCATGATCTTTGAGTAGATGGCAGCACGTAGCGCTAGGGTAATTTCAGTTAGAGGGTTGGTAGAAAAACCGCATGGTAGAGTCATTACGATAGTGGCTGTGTGTGTGTAACCACGTGGTAAGAACTAGTTTTAAATTAATTGCTTTGGTAGTTAATAAAACGGGAGGAAGCCTTTGTTTAACGACGATCAAACGTATTTTTCATAATGATACAGTTGTCCCCAACCCGCGCGGTAAATTCTTGCGCCCTTTTAATCGAAAATTGCAGACTTCCGGTCGGACGCGAACACGTGTTGTGAATCTGTTTCTTTGTTTGTAAATTCACCAATCAAGCTAGTTTTTCTTAATAATCAGCTAGTGCAAACACAATTTAACAATCAGGATTATTTAAATTAACCATTTGCTAGAGGATTTCATGAAATTCACTTAGTCAGGAAAAACACCTTGTGTTTAATTACGAATAGGTCTCTGGATGCATATACGTAAGTGTTACACTATAACACTTCTAAATTCTTCACACAAGATTGCTAATAGTTCATTTACGGCAGTTAAACAAGTTCATTATACTGCGAACTGGCTGGAGGGGTTTAAAATGTTTTCTTCCCTTAGGCGCTTACCATGGTTATCATGATTAATCCATCGGGGCATGCCATCACAACGCCACAGATTGATTAATTTATCAAGGCATGCCTCACGACGCTACAGATTGATTACATTACCGAGACGCTTTTTCCTCGCAACGATTTTGGAATTTACATCCCCGAGACGCTTTTTCCTCGGAGCGATGATTGGATATTTTTCTGTTTGTTTATTATGTGTCTTGTTGGGGTAACCAGTTCGTAGTATTTTAAACTCTCAAAGTAAATTATTTTTGAAGTAACCAACCATTTAGATCATGATATAATTTGGCATAATGTAAACTCTTTGTTTGAACCGTTGATAAAGTGTGGCAAATATTAATCTCCTGTAAATTTTGGTAACTCTGCAATCTTCCACCTCATACAATATTTCTTTAATCTCACAATTTTAACCTCAGTAATCTTATTTGTTGTATAAATTTAATTGAACGTAAATTTCATGTTCTACAGTTTTAACTTCACATGATACTCGTATTTCTATTTGTACAAGTTTATTTCACACCAGATCTTTTGTTGCATAAATCCTTGCTAAGTTTTGTTTTGTAAATACTTTGTTGATGAATGTTTCTATGATATAAATTAATTGATGTCCAACTTTAATCTCACATAAGAATTATTTGTTGTTTAAAATTTCACAAGATTGTATGGCGAATTTAAATGTTGTGTATTGCTCTTTGTTGAAACTTTAACACTTGTTCGGTTGTCATTTAATATTAGAGTCATAGAGTTTGAAAATTTAAATAGAATTGAAGGTAAATAACACAATATCACGTAGTGTCTGCGATGGGCGCGGTTCCTAGTTGAGGTAGCGGAATGTATCGCGCTGTCTGCACAAGATGTGCAGACTTTGAATCAGATTTCAGTGGGAACGGTCTTGACGACGAGGTAGTAGTTGACCAGACTTCACCGCTAGTTTTAGGCCGAAACGGCCTGCTTGGACGGCATGTTCGTAATGGAGGGGTGCTGTCTGGCAGGCTTGGTGTAGATAGAATCACCGTCGCGGGGGAAACCAGCCCAGACCGGGAGCTCAAAACTTCGCTCACGCTACGACGCCCCCTCTGGGTATTTTGTTGTGCTCCTGTTAACTGCCGTAACTTAAAAAAAAAAAGGAAAAGGAGATCGGCCGCCACACGCCTGTAATAACTTGTGTATTTGCATCCAGTTACTTGATTCAGCTTTTGCTTTGTTTTATTAAATTTGTGATATTCAAATATTTGCATTGATTCCAAACAGATGTACAGAATTTCCGTTTGTTCGTTTTTCGTATGTGTATGTCTGTCAATTCGCGAGTGTTTTTCTTTCACATATCTTAAGGTGTTTGAAATGTAATATGTCGTCCGGGAATAAAAAACCAAAGGGGGTTTTTGCGCTGAGGAGTAAATCTTCGAAGCGTCTTTCCCCCTGTGAGGGGTGCCGTACTCCCCCTCCAAACCAATTTTTGTCTATTATTTCTTGCGCTCTCGACAGTGTATGCACTTGTATGAAAGAACGTCTTCCCGCCATTTTTCAAAAACAAAAAAAAAACACACAACGTAGGTTCTCATTTGTTAGACGATCACAGCCAAGGCCAAACTTTGAATTTTTAAATTTTTCGCGGGCCTTTCAAACTGTTTCAAGGTCAAATTTTGAGGCGGGAAGATTGGGTTATTACAATATGTACAAAATCTTTACACTTGTTTCTAAGTAAAAATTTACACAATTTTACTTTTTCATTTTTTTATTTCTTGAAATATTGTGTTTTCTTTTTAAAAATTTCGTTACTATTTCCATCGTTCTTCATTCTCTTTGTACATATTTTTTGTATATAATCTTTATGTATATTCTTTTTTCAGCAGACTAATTCTTGATAATTTAGCAAAAAATGAAAATCAAACATCGTTTTAAAGTAACGGTTAATTGTTTATATATTAAAGTCAATGTTAAATATTAGAATCTATGGTCAATTATGTAAAAGGAAAACGGTGGAATTAATACTTATTTACGATGGTTAGGTAATAATAATAAATAATGAAAAAAATCACATGTAACCTGTTTTGTTATCTCTAAATGAATCGAGATCAACGAAATTAAGAATCTCTAGAATTACACAAAGTACTTTTAACTCATACTGTAAACTACTACGTCGGTCTACGCGAGAAAAAATACTGCACAAATCAATATAATTCAATAGTTTGTGTTAAATCAGATGCCGGTAATTGGTAATTGTTTTTTGACGCCAGTTTTGTCAAGCTCTAACTCGATGGTCAGACTCTTCATTTCCACCTGTTTTCCTATTATTATTCATCTGTAGGTACGTAATTCGCCTGCAGGTGCCTCTAGGGCCAGAACACTTTCTTTTTGGGTCCAAGTTACCCTCTAGTTCTAAAAATCCTTTGTTTTCACTTCTATCTCTTCTCAGGTCTCTGAGTTTTTCTAGTTCTGGACAAAAACTTTCTGTACCATTCGGCCTTATATATATTTGGGTATAGTGACATAAATTACATATTTTATTTTTTATTACCTAAATCATTATAAAAAAACTAAGACATTAGAAACAGCGTTACCTATTAGTAATAAAATGATCGCAACTGATAGTGCTTACTGCTGATAATGAAGCTAATAGTGTCAAATACTAATGCGTTTTCTGTAACCACAATCATATGCAGGGAAATAAAGAAACGGTTACTTTAGGTTGGCAGAACTGGGGCCTTGGTATTAAATATTTTATAATGGCCAAATTCAAACCGTTTCAGCGAAAACTTACAAACATAATATACTTAAAAATAGTCTTTTTTAAGCCACAAACACGACCGTCACAAACGAACGAAAAGTGTAAAGAGGTTGGCAACCATGACAAAAACTTCGGCTTGACCGCTTCTCTCCGGTTTCAACCGGTAAAAACGAAACGCCGCACTATCTTTCACAAAAGCGCGGGAAAACTTTACGTCATCGTTCACAAGGAGGGGCAGGGCCTGCCAAGTTGAGTGGGAAAATTTGAGCCGGTTTATCTATACCACTTCAATGCACTACAGACCCATAAGTCTCTCTTCGTTTCTATATCTCTCTCGTGTTATCATATTGGGCGTACATAAACCTATCCTTATGCTACAACTAAATCTCAAGGCAGATGGCTCTGCAGTCGCAAAATTTCTGTCAACTTGTAACACATTTGAAAATTGAAAGAATACAACTGCCGGACGCCATCCGCCATTACAGATACCCCTACTTCTAACGGTGTTCTGACGTATATGTGTGACGCACGCACAGGTGTGACGCGCTGCAGCACATGAGCAATAACGGTTATAAATTTGCGCGAATTTGAATTTGAATAATTTAAGTGTGTGAGTGCGAATACGTGGCGAATACCAAAAAGTAAATATCTACCGAAAATTATTTGAAGGAACGCCATGACGAGAAGGTAAAAAATTTTAGCTTTTTATTGCAAATTTAAATAAAACAAATAATGTATTATTGTTGTAGATATTGTATTATTTGTGGTAACAACACAGAAAATGCGAAGGCACTGCATTGTTTTCCTCGATCGCTTGCTAGGTGAGTTTACAAACATCGAAGTATATTTAATTTTTAAGTAAGAAAAAAAAGAAGAAAAATTTAATGCAAAATCATTTTATTTTTTAGATTACGTGAATGGGGAGAAGCACTGAAAATTGAGAATGTAGAAAAAAAAGTGAAAGCACACTGGAGAATTTGCAGTGAACACTTTTCCGCAAATTCTTACGCTAACAATTGGTCAGCAACTTTAAATCGCAATGCAGTACCTTCGCAATACATCCAAACTTCCAAGACTGAGGTAATAATTATTAAAGAAAAGGAAATAACTATTGTGTGAAATTTGCTTCGTTTTGTTTTTTGTAGGTATTAAATATTCATGTTTTTTAGATCATTGAAGAGAATGCGCTGCAGCCACCAACTGTGACACCCCCAGGTCTTCCGGTCGAACCGTTAATGGTACAAACTTATAGTGTCTTTGTATGCAATAATTATTAATTGATCTTTGTTTCAGGTTACAAATGAAGACATACATTTTTCAACACCAATTAAAGTTCCCTCCACTCATCCTGTTCCATCGACATCAAAAGGAAGTGCTTCTCTGATGTATGATACTTCTATGCTCTCTTCTTTGCATGAAACGCCTACTTCTTCTTGTGCTTCTATTAATTTTCGTCAAAATGCGACTATTTTTTCTACTAACGAGTCCAAAGCACCATCGATTAGTAGATCTTTGTTTAAGAAATGTGATCTCAATTTCTCGTGTACTCCACGCGAAAAGAAATTGAGATCTATACTTAAACAAAGAGAAAAGCAGCTTCAGGCAGTTAAAAAATTATGCAAACAACGTGGAAAAGAATTGCGACAAGTACATCAAATTAAAAATTTGGATAAAAATCCATTAGTAAATAATCTGTTTGAAGGTTTATCTCCCGTTGTTGCTAATTTTTTAGTTGCCCAAGTTCGCTGGTCTAAACAACCAACTCGTGCTCGTCGATGGTCTTTGGAGGACAAACTCTTCGCTCTTCTTTTGTTCAAACGTAGCCCTAGTTGTTATGCTCTTATGCGCCGCTTTCTTGCTTTACCTAGTCGCAGTACCCTAACTGCCCTTCTTTCACATTTTCCATTAAAGCCGGGGATTAATCTTAATTTATTCCAACACCTGCAATCAGTTCTCGCAGGCCGTCCCCCAAAAGATTCGTTCTGTACTCTAATGTTCGACGAAATGAGTATTCTCGAACATTTAGAGTACAATCGAACTGGCGACTGTTTTGTGGGACTGGAGAACTTAGGACACCATGGCAGCTCTGCAAAAATTGCAAATCATGCCCTGGTGTTCATGGTTCAAGGTGTTGGAGGTAAATGGAAACAACCTCTGGCTTTTTATTTTTCACATGGTCCTGTTTCTTCGGATAAATTGCAACTCATACTGTTAGACGTTCTTGACACTTGCAGTAACCATGGTTTGAATGTGGTAACCTGCATTTCATACATGGGTACTAATAACGTCAAGACGTTTAAAAGTATGGGTGCAACGGAATCCCAACCTTTTTTCGTGCATAAAGGGAAACGCATCTTTTGCATGTTCGATCCTCCCCACCTTATTAAGTGCCTCCGCAACAATTTCCTCAAACACCCCATCCAAGTCCCAGTTTTAATTGGTGAGGAAAATGTATCCTTCACGGCACGGTGGGATCACTTGTTGGAGGCTAAGGCCATTGATGATAGGAGCCCTGTGGACTACCGCACTTTGAAGAAGCTGACAGATGCCCATTTTCACCCCTCTGTGCAACAAACCATGAAGGTGAAGTTGGCAGCTCAGATTTTTAGCCATTCTTTTGCTGCCTATATTCACAGCTTAATTTCAACGAGTAAGTATATAGTTAGTTATATTTTATGTTAATATACATATTTCACAATATTATGTAATTTTTCTAAAAACCAAATATTTTGAATGAAAGATGAGATATAATGTTTTTTATCTTTTTTTACAGACAGTGTGTCCAATGATAGACTTGGCACAGCGCAGCTGTTGAAAGATGGCAACAAGTTGTTTGACAGCCTAAATGGGTTTGCACAGGGGGCAGAAAATGGTAAGGAGGTACACTGTGTTGTCACTTGGGAATCAAAGCACTGGTCTTTCTGGGAGGAGATGCTGGAAATGATTCCCAAGTGGCAATTCCTTCGTGACAACAATACTGTTTGTTCGCCACCCAGTCAAACAGGGTGGCAACTGACAGTAAAGTCATTCACGATGATTTGTACCGAGCTTCTTCAAAGTGGGGAGTTCACAAGTGTGCGCCCTCGGTCGTTTAATCAGGATCCACTCGAGAATTTGTTTGGGGCCATTCGTTCTTCGTGCGGAGCCAATGATACTCCTACAGCAGCACAATTCATAAGCGCTCTAAAGACGCAAGTTGTCTGTGGCCTCTCTAAGGGTCACCTGAAGGGAGGCAACTGCGAGGCAGACAACGCGAAACTTTTGAGCGACTTCCGTCATTTGTTTGAGGGATTGAATCAGCAACTTGACCAACCGAGAATGGCTGAAAGATGCAGTGTAATCGTTAACATTAGTAGTGTGATAGATGTACCAACACTTGCAGATGAAATAGAATTAGCTGTTTTGTCTGGAAGTCCTGGCATTTTTTCCACAGCTTATGTTAGCGGCTACATTGCTAAGAAGCTCTTAGAAAAGTCAAGTTGCGATATTTGCAAGAGCGTGTTAATTACTGAGCCTTCAGCACAAGACAACTTCAATATTTATATTTCAAACAAAGAATTTAGTACCGATAAACACAGGCTAATTTATCCATCCGAGAAATTAGTCAAAAACGTGGGCATTATAACGAACGTAATGGAAGCAATCGTTCCCCAGTTAATGAATGATGCACGGGATGTTCAGCATAGAATTGCAACTTCAATTTTCTCTAGTTCAAATACAGAAAATCTTTTTGAATGGATTTCCTGTGATCCTCATAGGATATCAATCGCACAATGTATTGTTGCTGCTGTGGGCCGAGTATATCTTCGATGGTATGCCACTGGCTTTAATCGTAAGCGAAAGTCCCAAAGAAAAGCTCGAACTGTTCGCAAAAAATTGAAAAAATTGGGACATCCGTCATAACGGTTTGTAGATATTCCATGTGAGGGATGTCCTTTTTTTTTAATTTTTTATAGTTACAAAAATTAGATTATTCGTTCTTTGTAATAATTAAGTATTATGTAAGACAAAAGCCCAGCTTATAAAAACACAATGAACAAATGTTTAATTAGCTATTAAAATAATTTCATTTTAATTATATTGTTAAACTATTTTCAAATTACATTATTTTATAAACTGGTCCTTTGAACAGGTGAAATTTTGTAATTTCATTTATTAAAATGAGTATGCATTGGATGCCATAAATAACGTTTTAATAATTAATTGTTTTCAGTTGTATCAACAATATTTGTTCAATTTTTGGCCAACAGTTTCAGATTTTTTTTGGGACTGTTGCTTACGATTGAACCTAGTCGCATACCATCGAAGATATACTCTGCCAGTCTATCAACAGCAGCAACATTGCATTCTACTATTGATATCTTATGGGGATCACAGGAAATCCATTCAAAAAGATTTTCTGTATTTGAGCTGGAGAAAATTGAAGTTGCAATTCTATGCTGAACATCTCCTGCATCATTCATTAACTTGGAAACGACTGCTTCCATTACGTTCGTTATAATGCTCACGTTTTTGACCCATTTCTCTGACAAATAAATAAGCCTGGCTCAGTAGTTAACACGCTCTTGCAAGATAAGATATCAATTGAAGAATGTATTGTCGTGGCTGTAGGCAGAATATATCTTCGGTGGTAGCCACTGGATTGAATCGTAAGCGAAAATCCCAAAGAAAGGCTCCAACTATTTTCAAAAAATTGAACAAAGTTATCTTCTTGTTGATTTCTAGTTTCTGTTTTATTATTAAATAAAAATTATTGTGATATCCTCGCAGTTTCAATAATTCTTATTTAATATAAAGCAAGAGAATTAGAAGATTCCTTATTTATAATAATTTGTATGTCATCTCATTTTAATCATATTGTTAAGCTATTGTACATATAATAATTATATCAACAATACCACTGCTGTTAGATACCATTATATGTTTGCTATTAAATTTACTAATGACAAAAATTACGTGTGTTTTTATTACTTTTTTTTAAGTAGTAAAAACATATTTTGTATCATCATAACTTCTTAATTAAATTATTTTATTAACTTATAATAATTATGCATTATACGTTAGTAAAATAATTTAATTACGAAGTTATGATATACAAAATATGTTTGTACAAAATTTTTAGAATGACTTTGAATCTCCCGCCAAATGCGCCTACTCAACAAAATTTCAAATTTCCCACAGTTTCCCCTACTATCTTTCGTCTGGCCCTCTATATTTGTTACCTTCTACTAGTTTAAATTTTTACACGGGACTTGGCAGTCTGGAGGGGGTAGTCTGTGTTCACAAGTGTCAGCCACCATCAGTCTTCAGTCACCTGTTGCCGAGTGCGAAGGCAGGAGATCAAAGCTCCTTTACATGAACCAAAAAGGGTAAAAAAATGGAACCTTCACCTGACTGTAGCACAAACTGTGTGAGCAACGGAACTACAGACAATTTGTACGTCGGCGATTCTGCCGAAAGTGATGAAACTGTCGAGGAGTACGATCCCTCCATTTGTAATGGAGTGACGCAACCAAGTGAATCTCTGGGCATCACCTACAAAATTAGTGAAAGAGGGGATTTAGACCCGAACAACTCCGCCAGTACGAATAGGACGATTAATCCGATGGCTGGACAGGACGAAGATCCGTTGTGTCACGAAAATAATTGTGAGGAAGCCACGGAAAAACATACCACGAAACTTGAGGTTTTCCTGAAGTTGGGTGCCACATTTCTTTATGTTTTTAATGTGACAAAGTTTTATGACACTATTATTTACCAAAGCTACGACAATTTTTCGGTTTATAGTTTGACGAGCATAATTTATTTAATATCAGCATTTGTGACAACATGTTTTAGTTGGAATATAAATCAATTTAAGCCAGAACAAAAGGAATATAATTTTTATACACGTGGAATTTTAATCGCTGCATTTGCATCTTTCGAAATCTACCATATTTACTTTAGAATTATTTCTGGGCCACAAAGCTATGGCCAGATTTCTTTAACTATTCTTTGGCATCTGTTTACGACGATAACACTTTTTATTATCTTCCAGCTATTTACTTTGGAAATATATGTACTGATGTCCGTTTATGCTATTAAATCTCTAAGCAAAAGTCGGGAAGGACAGCAGGATTATTATTACCTGCTGACGAAAACTCAGGCCGACGTTGGACTTCTTGGTCTATTGGATGGAGCTTTCAGAACAATACCACACCAGATTTTGCAGATATACAATTTTTTCAAATTTGGGTTCAACTTGGGAACTTTTTGGTGTGAGTAATCTGAATAATGAACTTCTTTTAGTACCTATTTATTTTCAGATTTTGACCAGATTGCAGTACTTTTCTCATTTTTCGCCATAGCTTGGTGTTCAACATCTTACCAGTCCTCACTCAGGGTGCATCTCCCAAACAAATATGACATGAACCTAAAGACTAAGTGCTGGTATTATACTTGGAGTTTTTTTATCTGTATTTCAAGAATATTGTGTATTGGCGCTATAGCAGCCCTTTGGCCCGTTGCTGTTGTAATTTTGTCATTTGGGCATTGTGCAGGATGGGCTTTTTGGTTGTGGTGGAACCATCCATCACTTGATTTTACCCGTAATAGTAAATATTGGCACATACTCTTTTGCTGTGTGATTGGTGTCGTCTATTTTACGTTTCCAATTAACTTAGACGATAAACCGACAAAAAAGAAATATTGTGTATTTTATGGTTTAATGTTGTTGAAGAATTGTGTAGGGATACTAATTTGGTACTTTAATGAAGACGCATCATGGGGTTACTTTGTACTAATTCTAGCAATAGGTAGTACTGGTCTTGGAATGATATTTCAGATATTATACTACGCTTACTATCATCCCACTAAAGTGTATGACAAAAATATAGCAGTACCAGTTCAATAGCATCCATATGGTATAATTATTTATTATATTTATTATTTTTATTATTACTTTTTTGTATGATGTTTTTTTAATTAGTAAATAACTATATTATTTGCATTTTTTTTATTTTTTTACACACAGTTAGTACGTTCAGTGCGTTGGTATGCCATCTATTTCTTCTTTATTAAAAGTTACCATAGATTCCTGTATCGGTAGTTTGAAGCATAATGCGCATGTGTTACTGAACTTACGAGCCATATTGGCTCAGTTAATCCTTAAACGCCGTGGAAGGTAGACAGTTGTTTTCATTCTCTCCGGCCGGTAAAAAGAAAATCATGGTTTACTACTCCTTCGACAAGAAAATACAATCTCGAGACCCCATTGAACTCAAGGGTAGAATACGTCAGGTATCTTACTGGAAACTGCTGCGACTATTTTTGACGGATTTTCTCCAACTATTCAACATATTTTTTGTCCAATACAAACTGTTTCATCTGGATATTGAAAATGAAATCGGCTACATTGCAACACTTGTGATTTCCTTGTTGTCGGGGGTAGTTACCTTGATTTTTAGTATACGGATTGATAAAATAAACCGCAAGAACCCAGCTACAGTTATGTCAATCGTAATTCTCTCACTCTTGGCCCTAAAATACATCATCGACTCGTGGTTTGCCCCACCGAGAATTCTTTGCTGTGGATGGTATGGAAAAATCGTGACGGAGCTAATAACTTCAATTTTTGTGCTGTTCCAAGTACCAAACTGTTTTCGACAAATTGTTGTCACGATTTGTGCTACTAGGTGTAAATTTTCGAAAACCGAAGAAAACAGAATTAAATTTTATCATGAAATGGTCGATGCTGAAGCCGACGCCGGGCTGCTAGGAATACTAGAGTGCCATCTAAGGGGGGCGCCTCAGCTGATCGTCCAGATTGCTCTCGTTTTCTTCAGGCACGATGACTTTACACAAATTTCCTGTAAGTACCTGAAGTTAAGTGATAATTTGAGCACTTTGTCAAAATGGCGGCGGGCTGTAACAGGTTTCAACACGAAAAAAGACTTTTCGTCATTACATCATCTCACTTCGAGATTCATGGATCGTTTCTCACTCAACTTTTCTGCTTTTGCAAAAACACAAAAGTGCGAATTTTGTTTATTTTCCAACATAAGAGAAATTACTTTGTGTTTCATAAAAGTCAAATTAAAAATTAGTAGACGATTTTTTATTATTTTTTATTAGAACGCTTAATAAAATGAAAGTAGAATAATGTTTCCTGAAATCGAAAACTCTTGCATTGGCCCCTTTAGAAGTTTGCTGTAAAAAAACGGGCAAAACGACTGAAAACAACAGGTTGTCAATCTTTTGACAATTTTTTTTTTCAGGGCTTGAACAAGTTTCTATTGCTGCTGCTTTGGGTGTGGTGCTACCATGGACTGCAACCTCCTACCATAATTCGCTAAGAACCCAGAAGAATGACCATTTTCCATTTTCAACAGTGGTGGTGTTTTTTATATGGAATGCATTCCTCCTAGCAGCAAGAATTCTTGCTATTAGTGTAGTTCTAGCGTTTTGGCCTGTGCATACGGGTGTAACAGTTCTAGTCCATTGGCTGGTGGCAACACTTTTGTTGTATTATAATTTTCCACCAGTTGATTTTTATAAGAAGGACAAGATCTGGCATTTTATGTTCTGCTCAATTTTTGGAATTGTTTATATTTTTAATGCAATTAATATGACCAAAGAAAAAAAGTTTTGGCATTACATATGCTTCTATGGGATTGTATTTTTGGAAAATACAGTTTCACTTATCCTGTGGTGTACAAATGAATATACTGTGATATATAGAATTAGTTTTGTTATTGTGAGTGAGATTTTGTTTATAGGTGGCATTCTTATTATGATTTTGTATTATGTAAAATTCCATCCACATAACGAGAAGGATAGATCTTGTGAAAATGATCAGTCCGGTGAAAACATTCCATTGAAGATATTTAATATAAATCATTGTGAAAACAATGAATCTGTGGATATTCCATCTGTATAAACTCATTCTGGTAGTTAGGGATATTTCTTCACAAACATGTCATATGTATATGAAATATAAGTTATTTAAGACTTAAGCCTGAATATCTCTAGTTACAGAGTAAAACATGACGCTTTTAGAGTATATTTTATTGTTATTTTATATAAAGTATTTATTCGTAATTTATTGGCGGTTCAATGACATAATGTGACTTAATAATTTACGTATCCAGTGTTAAGGTAAACGCTTTCGTAAAACAACACGTAGATCTATATAAACATATAAATTTAATTAAATACTTAATATTTTTTCAAATTCCTTGGAAATTGTTGTTCAATATAAGTTGTTTACGTTTGCGTATATCATGTGAGTTTGATTTCCTCAGTAAGTAGTTGTAATTAGTTTTTTTTTTTAATAAATGCATGTTCTTTTTCTATTTTTTAATGAAAATCCTTTTAAGAAGACTGCACGAAAGTCCTCATTTTAAAAAGCAACATTCGCTAAGCACAATTTGTAATACAAAATTAATTCTAGAAAAAAAAAGCTAGAAAACCATTGCAATAAGGTTTAATGATTGGCTAGCTTTGTGTTGTCTCGACGTTTCATAACTTTTAAAATATTGTTGTATGTTAACGCTTGTAAATAGACAGGCAGTCCAAAATGATTGGACTAATTGTTGTGAAATTTAGGAATAATAATTGTATTTTTGTAGGTTTAAAAAAATCAAAATTAGATGGTTTTAAATAGTAACAAATGTGATAACATATGTACAAAATATTTACACACATTTTTTTTTAAGTAAAAGTTTGTTTTTTTTATATAATTTTATAACTACCTACTCGGAATATTAAAATACGTTGGTTTTGTTTTTTAAATTTTTTCAAGTCGATTGTCACAGAATCAAATTAAATTATTGCAAATCTACAAAAATTAATAGTAGTTTCAACCGACTAATCCTTTGTAATTTAGCAAACAACTAAATATCAACCATCGTTTTAAAGTAACGTTTATTTGTTTATATACAAAAATAACAATGTTAAATACTAGAATCTATAGGAATAATGGTAAATTATGTAAAAGGAAAACGGTGGTGAATAATACTTATTTACAATGGATAGGTAATAAATAATGAAAAAAATCACATGTGACCTCTACAGTATCAAATATGGTTTTGTTATCTCTAAACGAATCGAGATCAACGAAATCCAGAGTCTCTAGAATTGAACAAAGCACTTTTAACTCATACTGTAAACTACGTCGGTCTACACGAGAAAAAATACCCCACAAATTCGTCGATCATTATAATTCAATAGTTTGTGTCAAATCAGATGCCGGTAATTGTTTTTTGACGCCAGTTTTGTCAAGCTCCAACTCGATGGTCAGACTCTCCACTTCTGCCTCCAACGCCCGTGTTCTCCTATACATCTGCACGTAATTCATCTGCAGTTGCCTCTGGTACCGCAACACTTTCTCCTTCTCTTGGGCCCAGACCACCCTCTCGTTCTCAAAATCCTTCGTCTTCATTTCGATCTCCTCTCTGAGTTTTTCTAGTTCTGGACAGGAACATTCGGTACCATTCAGCCTTTGGATTTCGATGTCTTCTTCCGAGAGTGGCGTTCTTTGGGATCGGCCCGGCTCCGTTCCTTCGTATTCGGTTAAGGACATGTCGGACAGTTCTTCCCTCAGTTCTCTTATTTCTGCTTTCAGTCTCTCTGTTTCTGAAAGACTGTCGGAACACGATACGTCAGACTGAGATTTAGAATGCAACCTGGCTAGTTCTTGTTTTAAGTTTTGTATTTCGTTGTCTTTTTCTTCAGACTGTTTTCTTATTTCGGTGATTTCCGTGTCTCGGAGGTCTAATTGTTCGCGAAATTCGCGTTGTTCGTTACGTAGTTGGAGGAGTTCTTGGCATTTTGAGGTTTGCTCGTTCTGAAATCAAAGGAAATATGAAATGACGTATAATAACATGAGAAATATAAATTGACGTGGAATGGAACTAGGAAAATTTCATAAATGGTAATGGTTTAAAAGCTTTTACAACGGTTTTCAGTTGAATTATTCTACCAGCAAAATTGGTGAAAGTAAAACATCACAACTATAATTCACTTTTTACCTTTCTTTTTGATATGATGAGTGATGAATTTAAATCACGAACATTACAGGAATTTACCGGTTGTAGGATGTTTCAGGGCCACTAGAATGTATAAGTAATTTTCTGATTTTGGAAAAATAAAGTAACTGTAATTCTCTGGCTACCTAGATATTAAATTTATAATATTCTCAACTAAATCTCTTATTGTTGTTCTGTTCTTATTAAAATAATAATAACAATAATGAGGATTGCAAGGAATTTAAAAATTTTTAAGTTTTCGTTGAAGGTTTAACGAAGTTTTAAATATTAAACCACATTCGGTCATCCAAAACAAGAAATCTACATACATTACTCAAATTTCGCTACCAAGTTATTGTAATCTCTTTGAATATTTTTAGCAACGTAAGAATTTACAAAAAAATCACAGCGGGATTACTTTTATAATCTGTGTTACAATATTTTATGGAAATCTAAATAGGGATATGTACTTTGCGTTGGTATCAATTAAATTAAATTTGGTTATACAGAGTGTTTATAAAAAATTCCAACCTTTATTCTGTTTTTTCAAATAGATAACACGTATTTTATTACTGCATCTTACTCTATTTTTTGTTCTCCTACCTTCGATGTGCCGGTGTTTCTCCTAAAAAAGTGAAAAATTGCAGAAACTATTAATTTTAGATGGAAAAGATACTTAACAAAAAAGAAAGAGAATAATAATAAAGTGAAATATCGTAAATGTTTGAAAATTGTAATAATTTAAGATTTTTTATAAACACTCTGTATATTAACACTCAATTTAATTTACACCATAACAGACTGGGTATCTTTGTTTATTTTTCCCCAACATATTGTAACCCAAATTTTAAAAATAACCCTACTGCAATTTTTCCTACCTTGATAAAAGTTTCAAGAAGAAGTTAATGAGAATATGTTAAAATATATAGGGTGTTCTTCTTAAAAAAGCCAAGTTGTGTCTTATATCTCTAAAAAAACGCTACTCAAAGAACGGGATAACTTTAATCTTTAACTTCTACTTTTATTTTCCTTTAATTAATGAGAAATCAGGGAACTAGTAAATAATACAGTTAATTCAGCATGAGATCGTGAAGTTTGGGTAAGAGTGAGTGTAAAACTGACTTTTCACTTTTCAGCACTATGGATGTTACTATTCGGTCGCCATCTTGAAAATCAGGGTACAATAAGTTTTTTGGTTTATCTCCGTAATCTTCTGTCTGACAAAAAAAATTAAGGATCATTTTTGTAGAAGATATACTTATCTACAACTTTTATTAATAACTTTTTGGTGTAATATTAATAATAAAATGGGTCGAAGGCTATTTCGACAGAAATACAGCTCTTTCAAAAAAAAAATAAAATTTGGTTTTACGATTTTAGTTTTGAAATAACTGCTATAAAGTAAAAGCCAGAGGCATAAATAACGCCCCCGCAGCCCCTGCGTCGTAAAAATATATTTAAAGCAATTAACTAACGGGATAAAATGTCCTTCAGCACTAGGTAATAATAACAATCTGAAGCTCAAGTGTTTATTTATGTTTATACATCGAAAGAATGTCACGTAGAAATTCGTTTGATTTGGATGAGTTTGTCTTCTCAAAACAGAGGACTAAAATTATTAATTAAACCACAATCGAACAAAATAAGAATATTATAATTCTTATTTTATCATTATTATATAAAGACGTTCATATTCTTAAATTTTCGGGAAAATGGGGTGATTCGTTGTTAATTTGACCAAGAAAAACTTTGTAATGACGTCATAAACATATATAATACAAAATTCGAGAAAAAAAGCGAAAAAAAAAGAAAAACACAAAGACTCAAGCTTGGAACCACTAGACCACGACCGGGATGCCTTACGTTAATGGTAGTAATGATACTATTATATCGGGCTTTATATTTTTGCAAAAATTTGGACAGTTAGGGAAAAACTCAAAGAGGATTCGTACACCACACTTAAAGGAGAATATAGTGTTGCATAACAGTTAAATCAAATAAACATATAATTCTTTAAAATGACGTCATCAAATTGTTGGACCGGAATGATTAGCAAAATTTTGGTTAACCATCTACATGATTTTTCTAATATACAGGGTGTTATTGAAAGGTACGTACAAAATAAAATCGTCAATTCGTCTCGAAGTATGAGTGCTAAAAGTAAAAAAAGTTCAGGTAAAAGTGTTCTCCTTTTAGAGATAAAAATTATCAAAATTTATGTCCAAATTTGTTGTACGCCTCTGATAAAAAGATCATCTCTCGTTTCTATAGCAACATTTATTTTAGGATTTACTAAAATAAATTAATTTTACCTATTTATCTTTCAGTAGCGTCTAAAAAAGTTGGATAAGGGTTAATTTTCCCCTTATAATTTTGATAACACAAAATAAGTTTTTCAGACTTCTTAGACTTCGCGAAGAACTGTCAATTTTGTTGTACGTACCTTTCAATAACACCCTGTATATCTAGAGATTACGTGTCTAATAAAAATGGATACAGACACCAGACAGACAGGTAGACAGACAGACAGACGGAAACGGGAGACTACCTTATTCGTGTTGTAGGGGTCATGAAATTTCGAGAAAACATAAAAGTGGCCATTCGTTCGATGGACTCGATTACTACACTTCCTTAGCTTACGCTCGGGAAGAAAAAAAGTTATAAACCGAAAAATTGAAAAACTAGAGGTCGGAAAACTTCAAGGTGAGATGACTTTGGCATTTTCAATCTTACAAAAAGAAAACGGATTCATTGGATTTCACACTTATGTTATAAACCACATGAAAAACAAAATACAAGAAATCTTTCTTTATTTTCTAGTCAAGTCAGGGTTTTTAATAATTTTTCATAAGATTAACACACACATTTTTGAAATTTTTGTCTTGGCAATCCTGTATTATCGGCAGCTACATAGCATGAGTGTCGATAATACAGGATTGCCAACACAAAAATGTCAGTTCACAATTGTCAATTTTGACATGAGCCCGCCTAACAAACCTGTTATTGGTTGAGACGACGACTTGATGTCATAAAATGACAATCAGGTATGCCATCATAACGTTTAAGTATGTTGCCAACCCGATAAAATACATCACAAATATTAATAGTCGTTCGGTACTAGATTTGTTTTACCCCGAAAGTTTGTTATAGAAATTTTAAACATTCCCATCACATTGTTTTCATCCACATTTTCCAAATACAATGTTCTAAAGCACATGATTCATGAGTTATTTGGTATAATTTTTTTTCTAATTTTTCATTTTTAATTTTAAAATTAATTTGCGACTGTAAAAATGTGTCAAATGAATACCAACAGGTTATTAAATTTGAAAAACGCTATAATGAAACAAAACTGACCTAATTAAACACAAATTTACAAAAAATCCTAACAAATGCTCAACGTGACCTTCTCCGTAAGCAGTGTGTAAATAGTGCAGGGCCAAATAATTCGTAAGACTCCGGTATCCGATTCTGTTCAAGCATATTATTAAATAAATTACAAAAACTTCTATACTTTTGATTTTTTTTTTAATTTGGACGTTTCGGGTAAAAACTCAATACGGAGTCATAAACTACATGTGTAGGACTATGTTATTTCATACAACTTAAAACTCATTTACATTTACTATGTATAATTTTGAAGTGACGTCATCACATTATTGGTGGGGATGACTAGACAAATTTTGGTTAGCGTTTTACCATCTACATGATATTGTTAATATAAATACAAAATTTGGCAACAATCGGCTCAGCACTTGCGGAGTTATCTGTCTAATAAAAATCCGGGACCACCGACAAACGGACAGACAGACTGAAACTAGAGACCTATTTCTTCGTACTCTAGGGGTCATGAAAGGTCTAGGAAACGTAACAGTAGAGTGTCGGCCAATGGACTTTATTGAAATCCAGAAATTACTGTAACCAGTATTTTGGGTTGCCGCTCTAAAACGCTCAGATGGGTCATCTTATTTCGCTGAAGAACCCTGTATATACAAAAATTCTTTTCAGAAAGTTTTCTTCAGACTCACGGTTAAGCCGTTTAATAAAAAACAATTACAACCTTATCTTTAAGATGGCGAAAGAATGACAACACTCCCAGTCTCGAAAACTCAGTTTTACACTCAGGATAAATAGAGTTACCAACATCTTCATGTTGTAACAATGTTCAGCCTTGTCAAGGCTCTGAACCATGACTGGTAAAGAAAACATTAAAATCTGAATAATTGTGTTCTTGTGTTCCATTGATGGAATACTTAAAGTAGTCAGTCAAAAGACTATATGAAAACGCTAAACATTACCTTTTTTCTGCTACTTACTTGATAGTCCTTCAGTTGTGACTTCAGCAACGAAATCTCCCCCGTTTTCTGGCACAGTCCCCATTCCGTCTCCTCCAGCCGCCCCCTCAGCGCGCTCACTTCCTGCCGGAGCCGTTCGCTCTGACAATTGGCCCTCTGCGTCTCTGCACAAAGCCTCTTCTTGTCCTGCTGCAGCTGGTAAGTTTGCATCATCAGCATCTGCTCCAGTTTGAGGGCTTTCTGCGCGCTGGCCCTCAGTCGGTTCTCGTGGACGCTCTTCAGCCTCCTCAGCTCGCGCTCCCAGACCTTCTCCTTCTCCTGGTAGACCCGGAATATGACCTGTTCGTTGTGCTCCATCGTCTGTCGGAGGTAGGCGAGCTCGGAGTCGCGGTCGCGCAACGCCGCCTCCAGCTCAGACACTCCCGAATCGGACGGTGACGGCGTCAGATCTAGCAGACTTCCGCCGCCCGCGCCCGACAGCCGATACGACGTTTTGTTCCTACACACGCCAACAAACAACTATTGTATCACTTGCATAACGACACAAAAAGCAAGCGAAAGTCGGCAGATATACGAGATTTCTGTGCGAGTACATCCGTTATGAATTCATTGCGTGTTGGTTCTTGCGGGATCTTTCCTCACCGGAACGGTTCCGATTGCACAATTGCGCAGATTTCGTACGACGGGCGAAAATCGTGGGTTTTTACTGTGCAATGCACTGTGGGCGACTGCGGCGTACTTTTTTCGAGTAGGGGTTTAGGTTTCAAGAGTTTGTGGAAAGATTCAAGGTTCGATTACTATGTGTGTCTCGGGTAACGATAATCCGAGTAACGCGGAGTTCCCTTCCGCATTTACTTTGGCGGTCGAAGAGTGCTTTGTTTGTTTGACAATGACCTCTTGAGGAATGAAGCTTGGTAATGAGGAATGAGGGCCCATAACCCACTAAGTGATGAATAAATTGGCCGTTGTAACTAAATGCTTGACTTGTTTATCAACAAAAGCAGCTATATGTAATTTTGTAACGGATCATAAACCCGAATATTTACATACAAGGGAAAAGTTATCGATGTTGAAAAACTTAATAGTCTATTAACTTGGAATATGACCGGCAAAAATCGAAAGCGTTAAAAGAATTCTAGACCATCTTCACCTTTCGTCGATATTCATATTCATTATTCACAATCCATATGTTAAAATTACTTGCGATCGCTCCGGCGTAACAAATAAAAGACATTTTGAAAGCTTGAATAAATTCAAAGATGACTCATTTTCCAAAGACGTTAAAAGATGAACAGTAACGAACCCCGTTTTTGTGTACCTCATCTGAACCATACTTGGTACTTAGTGGTAATTCAAGTATGTAATTCAAAAAAGAGTGAAGGTTCGCTTTCACATGTATAGCAAAAAATGAAAGGCAGTAAATACCGGTTTTTGTGTGGAATCCTAGGCTGTAAAATTTTGGTTTAATGTACATATATATTTTGCAGTTATGCAACCAATTATACAATGTAGCCATTTCTACCGGTTATACGCTAGCCATAAAAGTGGATGAATAATGTTATCTTGTGTGACACCTTTAGTTAATAGATTCATGCATCATGTAGGAAGTGGTACTTCATAAAATAATAAAGCACTGTTTCATTACAGTCCACAAATCACAGATGTCTGTGAATTTTCACACTTTAATAATCTGACAATTTTATAGTTTCAACCTTTACCCTTTTATCGCAACTATGTGTTTACTTTATTTATTTGTCAATATAATTACCACGCACTCCAAAATACTCACAAAATTAATTTCAAATACTACGAAAGGAAATTTAAAATGTGATAATTCGCAGTGATAATAACTTAATCAAAAACACTTTTAATTTTAGTACGTCACTTTTTTATGCTTATATCGCAAACGAACTGTAACAGATGTTCAATTGAAAAAGTCATCAAGCTGGCGTTGTTTTTTGATAGAAGAAACCCCAGCGAAAAACGCATGTGCTTTATTAATCCATACAATTGTGTAATTATAAATGACATTTAATAGAATTCTTGAAAAGTGTGAATTTTATTATTCCAAAAAATGAGGTTATTGCAGACATACTTCATATTATTTAAAAAAATAGCGCCAATTTGATGAATTTCACAATATAACTTTCGTTTTTTTTTTCTCAGCGTTTTGCTGGTTTGGTACATAAAAATACCATATTGTTATAAACGTTTCTCCATCTCAAAGCGCTGTTTAATTTTGCGCTTGATGCTGACGATGGACAAGTTTGTCAAATTTTTTGTCGTCTCAAATTCTACATTTCAAAAAGATGTTAAAGTGTCACAGGCAACTTGATAAACAAACATTTATTATCGTTTTATAATTAATTTTACTCAAAATGATTAATAGTTTTAATCTTTTATTCATTATACAAACGCAAGACAAAATCGATTTAAAAGACATCGTTTTAGTTTGACTGCTAACTCTGTACCTAATTAATAGCATTCTGGTCGAAAAAAGTTGTCAAGTGTGCTTTAGAATTTATTAAAAAAAAATATGTTGCCAGTATTTTCACTAACGTTATATAAATCTGTCAATTTGACATGTTTTGTCATTCTGTATACAGAATGAGTTAGAAAATGACAGAAATCCCGGGATCCCTAATTCTGGCAATACAATTAGAAAAAAACCCAAAGCACACTTGAATTTTTTTTCGATCATATATTTTTTATTTAAAAAAATAAAGGTCAAATAACAATATGGCGTCTGCAAGATGGACCAAAATGCGACATTTTGTGTTACCGAAATCTAGTGATTTAAGTGGAACATTTATGTGTTCTTCAAGTTCATCACGCCATGTAACACAGGAGCACCGAAAAAAAGTAACGAGTGTTGACTGTAATTTTAAAACGACATTATTAACATGTCTCAAGGTCAGCGTTATTTGTCTAAATACATGTGTCTGTGAAAATTACATCCATTATTTCTCCATCAATAAAATGAAACGAAAAGTGTAGCAAATAACTCTTGATTTTTCCAGCAGAAATCTGTCTGGTATAATTAGGTAAGTATGTATATGCGGCCTGACTATTAATGTTTGTGATGTTTTTTTTTCAGATTGGCAACGTATTTAAAATTGTGCCACCTTCTTATTGGTTTTTAGATGCATTCATGTCAAAATTGACAATTTCAACTGAAATGAAAAAATTCAAACAACACTAGAAAAGCGAAAATTTCTGTTGTCATTGTTTGTAATTTGGTATACTGACAGATTGTCAAGTTCAATTTGAAATTTGACGTTTGATGTCAAAGTCGGGTGTTGCTATTCTGTAGATATATGTTGTTTTTCACATAAAGTTGTGTACAAATGTTTCACTTTTCTATTTGACATATGACGCATTAAAATTTTAGGTTAAATAGTGGGCAATGATGTACCAACTGATTTTAAAAATTTATAGTCTACTAGATATCAAACATTAATGAAAACCCTATAGAAAATAAATATCTATGAGCGTTTTAACTCCGTATTACTTGTAAATTTACGAAAAGTGACAAAAATGCATTTTTTTGTTCAACAACTTAATTTCACCTAATTAAAAAAGAACAAACACTGATTTTACTTTTACATATGGTATTGTTTGATTTAAGTAGTTAAATGAAAGACATTTCTTGTGTAACAGAGAATAAAAGTGGGCGCTTTTTATTGTCACTTTCGAGAACTAGTGAAATTGGTTCTTGTAATAATACATAGGCTTAGATAAGGTTCTTAAGTATTTTTGCACGTTTATGCGGCCTTTGCGATTTCATTTTTGTTTTCGCGTCTGTCGGTTCCTTGCTTCTATTTCTCAAAAAGCGTAAAACATCTAAATAAAAGGTTTTTACCAACAGATTCTACCGCTCAATCTAGGGTACCATGGTCTATTTTAATTTTTTTCTACAAAGTACGTCACCAAGTCATAGACACAAAACTTAGTTTATTTTAAGTGAAACATCCTATATATTTTTACATATTTTGATTGACCTCTTCTTAGGCTTTACAACCACAATTTACTTTTGAAATTCCGATTCGACTTTGCTACGTTATTCCCATTTTCTTGATTTTTTGGCGATGGAAGGTTCAGAAAAAACTCACAATAGAGTTATTTTTAAAATCTGTCATAATATTTTGTGGAAGAATAAATAAAAATACGCGTTTTCTTGCGTTATCAACTAAATTAAATTTTAACATCCAAAGTCTTTATAAACAATCTAAAACTTTACAATTTTCAAATATCAATATTTCAGTTTTTCAAACGGAACACCTGTATTTTATTATTGTATGTTACTCTATTTTTTACCTTTATTCTTCTAATATGTAGATGGGTCTCTTAAAAAAGTAAAAAATCGTAGTAACTATTAACTTTAAATGTAGAACATACTTAACCAAAAAGAAAGAGAACAAAAAATAGGAGAATAACATGAAGTATTGGGGCGTTCTATTTGAAAAAACTGAAATATTGATATTCAAAAATTATAATAATTAAAAGATTGTGATAAACACGCTGTATATGAAAATTTAACGTCATTTATACCAACAAAGCTCACATCTCTCTTTATGTCTCCAGAAAATATTGTAAGACAAACCTACTGTCATTTTTTTATGAACGCTTTCATTGTTGAGTTTCAAGAAAATTAGAATAACTTGGCAACGTCGCATCACAATTTTAAAAGTAAACTGTGTCTGTAAAGCCTAAGAGGAGGTTAATCAAAATATGTATAGGTGTTGCATTTAAATGGACTATGTTGCTTGTAACGCCTTAAAAACAAAATACTCTGTATAGTTGAAAATAATTTTAGAGTATAGTCCTCAAATTTTTAATTTAAAACTTCCTTCAAAATATTCTTTCTTGATGTAGAAATATGTAAACATAAAATTTTAAGCAGTACATAATTTTCAGTAATACAAAACTTGTATGGTAAAAGCAAAGTTTAATGACAAATTAAGTAGTTTATCCAATAAACTCAAAAATGTTACCGCGGTTTCTAGTCCACTTGTCAAAAGTAAAAAAGTAAAAGGTGGCACAGTATTCTATATAAAATTACAACTGTTTATTACAGCTTTCAAAAAAAAGGAAGTATGTATTGTATTTAAAACATGAACGTGGTGACGTCAGCCCGGGGACGATAACTGCTATGACAGTATTACTCTCGACTTGTCATTAGCTCTACCGCATACCTTCATATCAACCATGATAATTTAGAAGAGTTTTTGTGTGAGTTATCCTAAAATGTATACTTTTAATGTGGAGGGATTGAACCTCAGACTGTTACAACAAATGATGATGATAGCGTCATATTATCATAATGGAGTTGTCCGCAATTTTCATACCCACAAGAACCCTTTAGTATCAATATTACCATACGGAACACATTCGGATAATGGTTAGCACTGTATTGCCACATCACATTTTATCCGGTCGACCGATAGGTCCGATATGTGTTGTCGAACAAATTAACCACAAACGGGAAACCATCAATCTAAGACTTTGAAACCGTACCATCAGGATATACATTTTTGGAATATTTCACAAAAGTATATCCTGTTCTAGCTCTTCATCTCTCGTAACTGCCGACCTTCGCATTGTAGGCGCCGTAGCGATTATTGTTAAACAAACATTAAGCCCACCATATAAAAACCAAACAAAAATCGCTATCCTTCGAATTAAATATATACTTACATCATAGACCCATCAACCGTAGACACCGGCGACTTCCTCACGCTCTCCAAACTATCGTAGTTGACGAGTTTGTGCGGAAGCGACGTTAACGAGCTCATCGCCAAAGGTGGTGAAGAGGACGCGGAAGGACACGAAGAGCGCAGTTTTCGGTCCAGAGAATAGTTGGAACTGCTGCTGGGCTGTCGCAGATCATTGGTGCCTACAACCAAAAAGAAGCAAGCCGAGCATTTAGCGACGGCAAAGACCATATACTCACTTCCATACAACGTCAGGCGTGAACCTGGTCTCGTGAGGATAGGCGTTGATCCGTATCGTTCTCCTGCTAAACCGAATCTTGCCGCAGGTGTCATGGCTGCAGGTTTAAAAGCGATCGGCCGAATCACTACCTTACCCTGAAATAAAATAAAACCGTAAAACGATATGGTGATGCGTTTTGTTGGTCGCTTTGCGACGGTGTGGTGGCGATCCGCTCCTCTTCGATCTCCTCGGGCACGAGTACGATAAAAACAGGCGTTCGAGGCCACTTAAAATTCGCCTGTTTAGCAGTAATTATCGCCTACTTACTCGAAATTGCGGAGAATCAGTGCAAAGTTGTCGTGGGTAACGAATTTATCGAGCGTGAACAGTTTTTGCATGAGCTTTCGCTCTCGACATTGAAATCAAGCGTTTTGTGGAGGGCGAGAATTATTCGCGCGACGAAGTAATTATTGTTCTCGCGCCAAATTGGGTCACAAGAACGAGAAAATTGTACAAAGCACGGCTAAAGTTTTTTCGTCCAATAAAAATAGCCAAAGATTTTTTTTTAATGCCTTGGTAAGGTCCTCAGTAAATCTCCAAAATTATTATTCACATCAAGCAGGATTAACCGAAACAAAGTGAAAGAAAACCTAGAATTTCAAAATTTCTGGAACTTCTGCAAACATTAAGTGCAGCTGGACACTTCATTCGCGAAAAACAATGGCACCCAATATATATTTACTTATTCCAGATGATTCGTTTCATCCATCTTAGGATTTCTGTAAAACCCTTGCCGTAAGTTGTCCAAGATTTCAAACATTTCGAATGAAAAGTTTGTGGTGTCCCAATTTGAATTTAAATTTCGCGCTGAAAAATCAAAAAACAACTCCGCGAAACCGCATTTGAATGATTTGAATTTGAAAAACAAATTAAGAGAATCGTTAAACATAGACAAACATGTACTGCGTCAATAATTAAGATAGTAATGCTTGGGAAAGCAGACTCCTTTTGGTTTTGACGCATCACTTCTGGTCAACCTGGGTTAAGTTTAGTTTGTAGTTTAATTAACTACCCATTGTTTAAACGAAAATTAATCGTACCGACGGCAACGGCACAGTTTCTCCACAAGCGTAATTTATTAATAGTTTTCTAGTGTGACATGTTGTGAAGTTTCGCCGATGTCAACACATGGTGTCAATTTTTGTATACTATTTGTAAATTCGCAGTTCATGTTAATATTTTTAACTGTTCCTGATTCTAAGAGGAAATTCACTTATTCAGGCTTCACTCTTTTGTTTATCAAGTTATAACTAAAGTTTCTACATGTTTTTACTTAAATATTACGTTATAACACACTTCCTAATGTTTCACTCAAGATTGCCAATAGTTAGTTCACTCTAAACGTTTACCCATTTTGAAAGAAAGCACTTGGCTCCGAAAAACAGGAGGGGTTTAATATTTTCTTACAGGTTTAATAGTCTGAATTAGGTCTTTTTATTATTCTCTTGGAGGTCTAATGAAATTTTGGCGGCTTGAATCTAACATTTATTCCCTATGGCGCCGCTCTACGCGTAGTGTTTCCGAGACCAGCCGATTTTAATTTTGATCGTATTGAGCAATGTGTTTTTTTTTTTTTGTTTGTATGTGATGTGGTGGTTTGAATACAATTTAATATAATTAACAAATTGAAAGAACGCACAATTTAACATCATCTAAATTCTTTGTTGGTTGAAATTCTTTAGTGTGGTGTCATTAATTTAAGTAATAGTTTTTAAAGTTAAAAGTTTGTGGTTTTGTCATTGCTCAAATAAACGTTGAAGTCGAAACTTCATGGGGAGACTTGTATCCATATTCAAAATAACTTGTATACCTATTTGCAGTTATTTTAATTCAATTTTTCTCTTTTCCTTGTGTTTTTAAACTTATGATGTTAAAATGTTTATATTCATTCGTGTTTATATTAAATTTCATTGCTAAAGGCGAGAGAGGATTTTGCAATTATTGAATAGTGAATCCATCTACTTCAAGTTGGGTTTATTTCACAATTATTTTTACTTGTCCAAAATGCAGGAATAAAAGAGTTTTGTGTCCTCCAAATTTTGTGTTTGATTTAGGGGCGTTTTTCCAACTATGGGGTTCACCACCTTGCATTTTAACTCGTTCAACCATAAAAAATTGGTCCAAGGTTACTTTAACAGAACTTCTTATTATAAGTGTACATGCTTAACTTCAACTGCTTATGTTTATACATCGAAAGAATGTCACGTAGAAATTTGTTTAATTTAAATCAATTATCTCCTCAAAACAGAAGACTAAACTTATGAATTAAGCCACAATAGAACAAAATGTTTTGAATATGATATTAATATTATTATTATTATTTTATAATTATTAGATAAAGACGTGGGAATTCTCACATTTTCTAAAAAATGAGGTTCTTAATTTGATCAATAAAAAATTAGTTGAAGGCTGTAAGTATAATCCGACAAATCGAGCTCTTTAAAGAAAATTATAAAATTTGATTTTACAATTATCGTTCTGTGATAACCTCTGCAGCCCTTGCGTCGTACGGACAATGTAAATAGTATATTATAGTAGCGATTTTCATAAGACAAATTTTAATATTGAGGCACAAATCCAAGTTCATAGAACGAGCGGCGAAGCCGCGAGTTATATAAAGGATGAGTGCCACAATGGCCTTAGGAACGAGTAATTTATACTATTTTTTCTACCGCGCACGTTTTTTCGCAAAATTTAATTGAAATTTGCCTTTTCTTAAATCTGGGGAATTTTGTCGTGGTTGGTGATAGGTTGGTCTGACACTAACCACGAAATATTTGAGGTTTGAATTTTCACAACAACAACTGTAATTCGAATCAATTCGAGTTTTTGTAAGTTAAAATTGGTTAAAATGTCTTGTGAAGTAGTTAGTGAAGTCTTTACGCCTCCGGAAATACGGGAAATTTTAATTTGACATTTGTCACTGACAGTCACCTGACATTTCTCGTCATGGCTACCAATCTTACCGATCTAAATTACACCAGATCTATTAAAGAACTCCTTTCGGCTATTAAGGAACTGATGTGACATCATTAGCTCTATTAGAAAACCAAAAAACGTGCGCGGTAGAAAAAGTTTATGTATGTTTATAGGTACATCGAAAGAATGTCATGTAGAAATTAGTTTCATTTGAATGAATATTCCATCAACTTCTTAACATAAATTGGACATTTTTGAAATTAATATAAATCTAGTTGTTTAGAAAAAACAATATAAATAATACTAGTTGCAGTGCAAGAAACTTGTAGAGCTTATTTTTCTGTATTCTTTAATATAATTTATTAATCACCCATACTCCGCCATTGCCTGTAATTCGAATGCATTGGTTTACGAAAACACACTCTGTTGAGTTTATATTTGGTCTGGCGCGGAGTGTCAGTTTGTACTTCTCCACCGAGGATAACAATTGCTCCAAAAATATGAACGTGTTTCTAGGAAGTTTTCCCATTCGAAAATGTTCCGAGCAATATTTCAGCAAAGATTTGTATGTCAATTCCGACACGTGTAGTGTAATATTAGGTGACTTTTTTTTAATTTCTGATCTAGTTACCCAGGAGTTGGGTGATAAAACAAATTCGGCCAAAAATTAGGTCGTTAACTTGACGCGCGAAAATGAGAACAAAGCACAACTTAGGGTACTACATTAAGACGCGAGATTGTATCTCACAAGTTGTATATTCTAAGAGACCACTTACGTAATTTGGTGACGTAATAGGCAACGGAAATTAGATTAGAAATTAAAAAAAAATGACTCGATAGTAATTGAAGAACTTAAATGTTCCATCTTGCCTTATCAACATACTTTTATTAAAAAAAAATCGAGTCTAAACAATTTGGCATGATTCAGTCAATATGTAACTGAAGCTTAATAATAATACAAGTCATGTAATGTTACATATGTGTATCGATTTCTGAAGTCTTTAACCAGATTAATCATTTTATATTTTAAAATAATTTCTCTTTCAACACCTATTAATAATCTGTTCAGATCTTATTTGCTCGATAAAGAATGGTGTTTCAGATATATAAATTACGTTTCTCGCCCACATAGTCCTTATCCGGCGCACCACAAGGCTGCAATCTTGTACCACTGTTGTTTTCACTATTTATAAATGACATAATGGATGCTAAAACATGTCAAAACTTTATTTGTTGATGATTAGAAAATGTCACTTTAAAAGTCTTGATGATATTTTAAAACGGTGCCACGTTAATTAATGATTTTTAAATAAACTTAAATGGTGTATTGTATCATATAATCGAAAAGTAAGCATTATTTCTTTTCCTTATATAGATAGCAGTGTATTAAATAGGCAGCTGAATTTTTCGCTAATAAGGCCACTTCTGGAATATGCAGCAGTTGTTTGAAACTCCACATGCATATAACTTTATTTTTTTATTTATATCTTATGTGGTAGATGATGTTTACAGTGCTAGAAATCATGAAGAACTATTATTTAGGTTTAATTATAATTCACTGGAAATACATTGGCCTTTTATAATAGTAAAATTCTGCTTTAATTTTTAAATACAAAATATAATATAGTTATCGTTCCCTAATAAGTCTAATTAATTTAATTAAGTAATTGAATATAAAAGTTGCTAAAAAAAACAAGACTACCTCACCCCTTTCCACTCGAGGGACATAAAATTAAATTAACGTCTAACGTAGTTGGTTTAGTCACGTATACCATAAACAGCAAAAATTTTAACGAATACCAGGAAAACGTTTGTTCTGGTACAGTAACAGCTCGTATGGTCTAGTACCGTATAACTGCTTGAAAATACATACATGACGAGTCCGGGTAACCCATCTTATCCCAGTATTTTATCTCGCCCCACCTTTCCTTAGAGGTCATTTATTACGAACTGCACTTGTTTACCCGTTCGAAGTTTATCGCCCGTTTGATTACTGTGGTATGATTCGTTCTTTCTTCAGGATGATGAAGGCAGGGACACTCCCAAAATTTTGCGACATAAATCAAAAATTGCATCGAATTTGTGTGCTCCCGCCAGTTGCTTCACAAAATCGCTGTAGTGCGCATGCTCACATGAGCATACAGCGGGAAATTTGAGCCGCTAAATTTAGTAGGGG